ATAGTGTAATAATTTAGAACAACAAAAAGAGTTTTTGACGGTATGGAACAAAAAGATAAAGAAACGATTACTCTCATGATATAATTACCACTTTAACAAAGTATTATCAAAATAATTCAAAAAACAAAACTACCAAAATACCGTATCAATTAAAATTGCACCTCACACATGTGGCAACACTCATGAATATTAAATCCTACATCAATCATACACGGAGGTTGAGATTTCGCTACCGATTACAAGCACTCGTTTGCAAGGGGTTGCTTTGACGATATTTAGTTACCACGTAAAACTGGGTTAATTAAAGTGTGTAATTAATATTGTATAAACATGTACTTTAGTTCACGGACCCTATTTTAGGTAGTACTTGTAGTTTTAACAGACGAATCGGTATTTAATTACTTTTACTAATGTTTTTAGGAAACGTTGCTATGTTTTTAGGAAACGTTGCTATGTTTTTAATTATAGGTTTGTTTTTATAGTGTTGTTTAAAGTGATTTGAAGCGATGTTGTGCTGATTTGATTGATGGTTATTTTGTTAAATTAAATGTCGATTTGAGTATAACTTTCTTTTGTAGAAAGCTATAGTCTTAGTTAGCAGTATATGCCATATTCTTACGTTCACGTATATCAGAATCCATTAATAAAATAACTAAATAAATACGAACTTCTATCAAGTAATCTTACACAATGGAAGCACTCAAAACAAAAGCTAACCTTTCCGAAAACACCAACCAATTTCTACCAAATGACATATTTTTTGTTTGCAACACCAAAGATAACGAACTAACCGTGGCAACATTTATCGCGGTCTCATACCAACATCGCGGCTGTACGTTACTGTTATCGCAGCCGGCGTGGACATCTAGATTTATTCGTCATGAGCCAGGACGTGGACATAGCAAGGAAATGTTTATCTACTACGTACTACGCTTACTTACCAGTGTTTTTGCTCGACACGTCTCCATTGCGAGTGTTTTGTTTCATTCAATGGGCTGGTGTTAAATTGGTTAAGAATGATCTTATTTGTTGGCTTGGCCTATGTCTGATCTGATTGATATGTGAATTAGTAGTTGAAATTAGAAAGATGTTAAGGTTGAAACTTGAATTCAAAAATGTTTTAAAAGGAAGTTAGTGCATACATAATTATGTTATATTTTATTTTATTTGAAAAAATATTAAATAAAACAATATTACATTAGGTTTTAAAATTAAATCAATGTAATACCCACAACATTTTCCACATACATATTACAGTTTGGGATATAAGATGAGGATGAGACGACGATGTTGTGGCATTTTAGAGAGCCTATGTCCCGCAATGGATGGAAATAGGTTGATGATAATAAAATAATAATATGATAATATTAATAAATGTATAAGCAGTTGGAAGTGTTGACATAAAAAGCTGTTCGGAATATTTCAATAACTGACTGTGAATCCTTTGGTGATTCAGACAATAGAGCTTTTCATATAAATCATCATCACTTCATATCAAAACGTAACTAATTCCTATGAAATTCCACCCAACAAATCAAAAAGAAAATAACCCATACTAAATATCGTATCGTGGCAAAACGGGCACTAGTCCCCCAGTGAGCAGTGAGCACAGCATAGGGCGTAACGATAGCGGAATCGAACCGGCGATATGTTAATGCGCGTCCGATCGTGACGCACGACGTTCATCCTGCCGGACACTTGCTGAAGATCACCGCAATGATACGTACTTGAGAATATTTTTTATGTGTAAATAGCGTGGATGGGAGTCGTTGGCGATTGTTCCCAATGAGTTTTGTTATAGTTTCCTGAGTAATGAGATGGAATGAGGTTAGATGCTGTGAAGATCATTGTGGAAGTTAGCTTGTGGATTTAGCTTCTAGTATTTAATTCATTGATAAATATAGGTACGGTAGGGTAGGATTAACTAGTTCATAATACCATTGCGTCTCCTTATATGCTTTGCTGATGGTGACCCGGAAGTTTAAGACGCTTCTCATGCATGAGGGCGCGGGTTCAAAACCTACCAACGGCAAGTACAAATGTCAGTTTTCCCGAGTTATTCTTAAGAATTAAACGACCACTTCCAGACAGTAAAGAAAAATATCGTGATGAAACTTGTGCTAATAATCTTGAATTATAAGTTTGATATTGCCAACTCGCATTGAGCAAGCGTGGTGATTAATGCTCAAACCTTCTGCGAGCGAGGAGAGGCCTTTGGTCAGCAGCGACCACTTATAAGCTGTTGATGATGATGATAATATCCTGCTTATTTTATTCTGCACAATAAATTGAAAAATCTGTTTTAAAAAGCAACAATACTGAATCTAGCTAATAAATTTATTTAATAAGTTTCGACATCTAAAAACAAGAATACTGCCAAAAATTCATACATACATACACCTATCGGAATCGCAAAACGAGTTAAGTCACAGACCATCAGCTTCATTCAAGTCGTTCCCTCCATGTATTAAACACCTATGATATTATCGTGCAGTCCACGCATGATAGATGTACACACACCCTAGCTCAACAAACACAAATAAATCAAGATGTGTGCAACGATAATCTCGACCGACTTTGTCACTCAACTCTTTGTTCGAAACTTTTTTAGTAGCTTTTTTTATTCACGATCTGGCAACACTGGTAATGGCGGGCATAATGTTGTGTAGTGACGTTAAGACGACATGTTTAAAAAAAAAATTTCATAGATAAATGTTTTAGTTTAGATGGAAAGATTGTTATTGTTTAGATTGTTGTCTCTTTTGATTGACGTTTTAATTATTATTATTATTTTAATGTAGTTTTATTCTAGTGCTGGTTGACCATGGGACACTTGACTACACGGTTAGTGCAGTGGTCAGGCTGCTAGTTGCCGCTAACAAGTCGCAGATTCGAATACAGCTCACATTAAGTATTAACTAGTGTCGTCGTGTTACATATACGTCGAAGGGTTATAATTTCGTAGACTGAGCTCTTTATATTTCTACTGCCATCTCCCGCTCCCAAAAACAAATCTATCATAAGTAATAAAAGCCAAGGGGCCAGTCATCAAGAACAAGATATTAATGTAGCTAAGATGTATGACATTAATTTATATTCGATGTTTTAGTTTTTATCTCGATCTATCTTACAATCGAGTTGAATTCGAGGTGAATGTCATTCGTGTGGGGACCACTACCATTGGTAGAAGAATTAGTGTTAAGTAATTTTAATATTGTTAGAAGTTAAGTAACTTATATTTAGTTGAGTGATTTCTTCTCTGGGTTGGTTTATTTGGTTGCAAATCAAAGTGAATTTTCAAAACGAAATGAATGAGTAAAACAGCTAGCTACTGACAGACAACGTAATAATTTATTATACAAAGTAGCTTGATGAACTTTCAATGTGAAGATTAACCGCGACACATGAAGGTCTCGACAAAGTCAGGACACAAATGACTACCATTCACTTACGCTATATTTACACAAGTACCTAAACAAATATTTAATGAGCGTCCATATTTATTTATTCTGCTATCTTAGATAGTCTTGAGTGCTCAGCGATTACGGTGAGTTATCAGGCGAGATTGTGTTCCGTAGCCCGTGGTAGCGCGCGTCCTAGGTGATCGCTCACGGGCGTCACAATCACAGATTTGAATCACTGCGATTGTGACGCCACCGATGCACGACTATTTTAATTGGACCCTGATCTCAAACCAGATAAAACCTTAACAAGATGGCCGCTTTGTTTTTTCCCTACGTGTGTAGGCACGTGTATGACGCTTGTCGGCCTTGTTCCAACTAACATTTAACATTAAATTCCATTGCTTAATTATACAAATTTTCAACAACATGCATTGTTCTCCTGCATCCGTGAAGCAACTTTGCAGTCAAAGGGTACACCTAATCTAACCAGCTCATTGTGGCTCCTAGTCAAAACTATGCGGGCTAGCTTTCAACGAATACATGAGTCGCATGTTTCTCTCTTGTACAGACGCAATGACATGTTTATAAAGACAAAGGGCACAGATGTATATCATTTAACGAATCGACGTTCAGTTCGCGAGCGCTGCATAAACGACACCGAGTCACGCCATCTATCTGATTGTCCGGACAACCTTTCGCCAAGCCAACAATCACAAGCTTATAACTTATTTAGCGAAAAACAGAAGCTGGAGCGCGACTAACGAACCACGATAAGCTCGCGTTCGGTATGACGCTAACATTAAGCTGCCAGATAAAGGCAGCATTAGTCGGCCAATCGCGCGTCACCGAGCAATCGTAATGACCAATCGGAACGCGCGCACACTAGGATAGCGTGACCCGAACGCAATCCGATCCGAGCAGTGTTCGTTACCGCGAGATGGCGGTCGGTGCGCGGCCGCACCAATCGTCGCGTCCATCTCGCTGTCGTGCCCATATAATGATCTTCACAGGGCCAGGAGAATGAAGTTGAGCCTCTCATTAATTGGCGTTTTGAGTCGAGATCGCTGCGCGAAAGATAGGTTAATTCCTCGCTCGGTAGAGATCGTTGTCGCTCAAAAAGGAAGGTGAGCGAGCGTTTTCTGGAAATCAGATCCAATTACAACGGGGTCCGTTAAGTTTTTGTTCTGTTTGGCCGCGGGCCCGCGCACGATATTGATGGACGAGCATCGGTCGTAATGACGGATCAACCATCCCGAGTGCGCGAACTTAATCTCGTCCACATTTCTCGCATTTGTTAAGACGAGTGGCCGGTGCTCGCGCCCCACCCACGCGGCGACATTTACATAGCACGGCCACGTCTCAATTAGGAGCGCTAATGTATGCCTCGACTCGCGAGGCTCCATCTGACTGACGTCGACAGATACGAGACGAAACGTGACGAGTGACGACTATCGCGGGACGGCGCTGCCAACTCACCATCGCATAGCTATTAACAACACTAATAGGAGTTGATATGGCATTCATTCTTTTTGCTGCTATATTCTGCATTTATGTCCGCACGCGATAGATGCTCACTTGTATTGTTTTGATTTTCAGGTGAGGACGAGGAATGGGGAAACGAGAGCGAGGCGATGCCGGGAGAACCTCGCACGCCCAGCTCAGAGGGGGAGCGACCCGCGTCCAGCGGTGGCGCCTCACCAGCCTCGGGAGGCTCACCTGCTGCCTCACCACCTCGCTTACGCCTCAACACCAGTCTTGCTACAGACCCTGCGCTGGCACCGCAGGCAACGGCGCTCAAACATGAGCCGCCCTCACCATCTCCTCCTCCGCCACCAGCAGCAACACCACAAGCTGCGAGAGACTACCTCGCCTTAACGGCGGCAGCCTTCCCAGGGCTATTCCCAGGGTCTGGTCCTCCGAGCTATGTATGCAAACCTTGTGGTATACGCTACTCATCGTTAAGTACGCTACAAGCACATCAAGAACATTATTGTTCAAATAGACTTCCGAAACCCACAGAAGGGCCGAATGCGTCATCCGATCCTGTCGCAGATGAGTCCAGCAGTGATGCTAAAACTCCGCGACCTGCTGGCAAGCAGTACGCTTGCACGTATTGCTCATATAGTGCAGATAAAAAAGTGAGCTTGAACCGCCACATGCGGATGCATTCCTCATCTCCGGTCAGCAGTGGTACTCCAGCGCCGACGCCGACCTCTAACGGAGAAGTCACAGACGGTCCACCGGTACAAGACCGTTACTGCGCTGATTGTGATATTCGCTTTAGCTCAATAAAAACATATCGTGCTCATAAACAACACTATTGCAGCACGAGACAAGTCGTCAAACAAGCTTTGGCTGCAGCTCGGGGTGGCTCAGCAACGTCAGGGTCCGCCCCTCCTTCGCCTGGAGCCACACCACCGGCACAAAACCAAAACCAATACGCACTCGCGTTACCCACGAATCCTATTCTGATTGTACCGTATTCATTACTAAGGGGCGCCAGTACTCTCCCAGGGGCAACACTACCGGACCCAGACACGCCATGTTTTCTGTTACCAAATGGAACATTCCAACCAATCAGTCGGGCAATATCAAATATGAACTCTGATGGGAAAGAAACTGAGGTGTTAAAATCAGCCAACCGACCTCGAGAGCCTTCAAGAGATGGTGGTGTGACTCCATTAGATCTCAGTGTTCGGCGGTCCCCAGAATCAGTAGTCACTGATGAACATGAAAAAGAGAATAGAATACGGTCAACTACTCCTGAGCAAATAGTATGCGCTCCTTCTCTACCAGGATCTCCAGGAACGCCGTCTCCTTCACGGCGGTCTTCGTCACCAAGTGCAGAAAGTTCGCCAAAGCGACGGCGGCTAAACTCAAGAGGGCCGACTCCCAAACCACCAATTGTGCCGTCACCTCCTGAAGAGAAATTCGCGCCCATAGTTCCTCCTGCAATCTTGCCACCTGCCTTAGCATTACGCTTAGCATCAGAACTACCAGTAATTGGTGCATCTCCTCAAGTGCTTGTAAAACAGGGAGTTTCTAAATGCAAAGAATGCAACATCGTATTTTGTAAATATGAGAACTACCGCATACACAAGCGACATTATTGCTCATCTGGGGGTGGTGAGGAGCGCGCAAGTCCCGCGCCACCAGAGCCTGGCCCGCCGCCTCAGTACCGCCAACTGATCTGTCTCGCGTGTGGAATACATTTCAGTTCGCTGGACAACCTGACGACTCATCAGTCGTATTATTGCACTAAACGTGAGACTCGATCTCCTCGAAGTGTGCCTGAAGTTCCACGACCTACGTCAGGGTCAGAGGGAGGTTGGAAGTGTCCTTGCTGCGACGTGGTGTCCCCGACGGCAGCGGCAGCGCAGCGCCACATGGACGCGCACGCTGGTGTGAAGGCTTTCCGCTGCACCATATGTCGATACAGGGGCAACACGCTGCGAGGCATGCGCACGCACATACGTATGCACTTCAACAACAAGAAGCCTGCTGATTTGCAGGTAAGTTAGTATCACTCAATACTGTATCAAACTGTAATCCTAAATATGATAAAGAGCTATCAGCCATTAGAAAAACAGTTGTCTAAAACCATTATGTTTTTAATCACTATCACCACGCCAATATTAACATTCAAACTTCGTCTATTTCAGGAAGAGAGCTACATCTCGTGCGTTTTAGAAGAGGACAGCCGTGAAGCGACTTCCCCGAGCCCAGCGGTGGGCGGCGGAGAGCGCGTGCACCGGTGCGGCAGCTGCGCGTACACGTCCACGTACCGCGGTAATGTCGTGCGACACGCGCGACTCGTCCACGCGACAGACGAGCCGGAAGAGGAACAGACGTCTCCCGTCCCTCCCCCCACTGTCGACATCAAGAAGGAACCAGAGACAGAACTCGAGGAAACTCCAAACTACTGCAAGTCTTGTGACATTTCCTTCAAATACGTCAACACTTATAAGGCTCACAAGCAGTTTTATTGTACTGCCAACAATCAAGATGCAACGGCTAACAATAATGTGCCCACGCCCGCGAGGGTCACAGACACGCCTGTGCTATGAATTTCATTATTATTGATACTTGGCGTTCTAAATATATTTATGTGAGTTGCAGGCAATGTTAATATCTCATTTTTCGTAGAGCTTCATCAAGGAACTTGATATTACGTTGACTAGTAGCGCCATCTATTATTGTTCCCCGTAAATATTTTTGACTTAGTAAAGACGCATTCAAATCAAACTAAAATTATATAGATTCAATTTATAACGTGTATATGAACTTGTTTCCAATTGTTACAAAGGTATGGTTATATTTTATACTGTTTTAAAGTCATTTTGATGAAATCTCACGTAAAAGCGATATGTAACAGTAAGTCCTGTTTATATCAATGTTTACTCTGAAAATATTGCTCGCAGAAACCATAATTGCTTAAGTTGCTTCACCAGAATTTCTTGTAATTAATCCTAGACTAAGATTGTATCCTCTCGTTTTGAAATAAATTAAAATTAAATGATTGTGCAATAAATTAATGATTATAAAATTTAACGTGTACTGCATATCAATGCCAAATCGATGTTTAAAATTTTCGATTCGATGTTAAATTATAAAAGGCAAAATATTAAATTTAGCTTAAGTTACGCCACTGTTTCTGATGTTATGATAACGTGCGCAAATGGCGTAGACGAAGCTAATAAATGTTTTTCTTAATCCTTCAGAAATCTCAAGAACTCAAATGAGTAACTCAAAAAAGTTCTTGCTCATTTAAGTTCTTGAGGTAAAAAGTTTAATATATTGGCTAATGTACATACAAGCCCTCAATAATTTTAAGGATTTTGTTACTCTGTTACTGTAAATTTCCTAGTTAAAAGTTAAACTTCGTCTTTGTATTAGTATACGGTTAAAACAATATTACCAAAATTGTAAATATATGTAAAGATATTACTAAATATTATTACCATTCATTCTAAGTGATTGTTCTTGATTTTTGTTGTTAATTTTTGTTTAATATTAATTAATTATTAGGCGAATTTATCTTCTACCCCATAAAGCAGGTGCTGATTCCATAATATGGTTTAATTTACCAGTGTTATTTTTTTAAAACATTAGGTTTTCAAAAAATTACAACTTAAATTATTTTTGCGTTCTTGTCACTTAAAACTGATTTTAATTAATGTAATCTATCGAAGAATGTGTCTTCAGATAAAATTTAGATTGATGATCTATGTACCTATATAATTTTTAACGTATTTATTCAAAATTATGCCCAATATTAATGTTTAAAATGGTCATTAAAGCTTACAAGAACGCAAACTGTCAGCAATTACAAATGTATATTATATTTCACTTCCTTTCCTTTGACAGTTTACAACTGGTTAACCACAGTATTTATCATTCCCGAACTAAAAGTATCAAAACGTAAGTGTTAATAAAACGACTGTGTGCCCAGTATATCTTGGCTCGTGGCGAAAAGTGGAACTAATCATGTTCCATAGCAAGCAGCGCCACCCCAAAATGTTCTGGGCAAACAGTAAAATACCATGTTTTGTCAATGCCAAAGCATCGCTAGATTAATCGTAATTTGCATTTATAGTTATCTCATTAAATATAGTGTAGAATAAGTAACTACAAGACTTGTTCCCTACGTATAATTATTGTAATTTGTGTAACTTTTATGTTTTGTCTGTTTATAAAAGGAATGAGTCTCGAATCAGTGTTGCAAATTGTCATTAAAAATATAGGTACAAAAACTAAAAAATGTTGTCGATCTTCCATTATGACGTATTTAGTGGACTAGTCGTTGGTAGAAGTGATTTTAAACTATAGGAACAAAACTACCATATTGTAAGTCATTATTGTAAAAGTTGTCAGGCAATACAGTTTAAGGAACATATTTTAAGATAGCAACACCTTCAAAGTCTAAAATAACGTTAATTTCGAAATACAAAAAAGTATATCCATTTTCATAAAAACAAAGAAAAATCACTTCTGCTAACGACTCATAAATTCAGTAGAATAAAACGTAATAAATCATGACATTTTGTGTAAAGAAAAAAGGTTAAAACGAAACACAGCATCTGATGTTATGTGCCATAACTGTGTTCTCAGTAAAAACATAGTTTTTAATGTAGAAGCGTCATCTCGAATAAAATCCTTATATGTTTCGTAAACGATGGATGTCTTAAATTACTTTCGCAATTTTCCGACATGTATATTTTTTTTTCATAAGAAAATAACTTTTACACGATAGGTGTTCAGTGAAAAAGTGTACATACAATAAAGTATATTTGAATAAAAAATAAATAACAGACTGCAGGAAAATATAACAAATCTAAAAAATCCATACAAAAAAAACCACACAAACAAGGAAGCATAATGCTGAAATCGATTAAAAAGGATTTAGAACCAAAAAATCTACTGCTCCTAGCAGTCTCAAGAACAATTCCCAAAAAAATAACGAAAATCTAATTTAAGACACCCATTACGTACCTACCAATGTTTAAAATGCAACATTATTATAGTTAAGACGTTGAATTAAAGTGATAATAACAATTAACGAAGTAAACTGATGTAGGCATACAATGATATTGTAAAAATACCGCCAGACAATAAATTATTTATCACATATTAATAAATGACTTTTATTTATACCGAAAAAAACGATTTTCCTACTTTAAAAATATAAAGACTATGTACCCTTTTTTTTAAGGGGGGAAAATCATCAAACTACTGCTCCCGCCTGGGTGAGGCAGGAAGGAGTGTCAGACTCTTACTGACTAACAACCACCCCGTTCCTTCTCCTGCACGTCGCGCCAGAGCCCCGGTTACCCGTTAGGTTCTCCGCGACAGACTATGTACCCTTAAGGACTAACGGTAGCCTGCAATGGGCATATTGGTAGACTCTAAAACAAATACTAATATCTTTTGAGCATATTAAGCTTAGAACTGATCTTTTTCAAGCCCGATCGAAAATTTTGCACTAAACAAGAGGTCCTAGCTTAAAAAATAGCTGTATTTTCGAAGATCCTTTGACTATAGTTATATTTGCCGATTGGTGAACAGTGTGGGAATGACCTCGATTGATATGGGCACATTTACAAAATATACTAACAATAACTTAGTTTGGAAAATTTTCAATGTGTAACGTCCAATACAAAAACTTACAAAATAGCTAATAATAACTAGGTAAGCTTTATATTAATAGCCATTTCGAAGACTGCTCTGAAGGCTTGGGGTCACACAAAAATAGATTCCCTAAGAAAATTGAACCCGCGATACACTGCAACGAAGCCAATCGAATGATAAAAATTAACAGTAAACTAAACTAAGAAGAGTACTGGTAACGCCATCTCTGATCGCGCTCTGTAACTAATGTATACACTGTAGAAAACCCCAACCCCCGAAAAAGTGTACTGTTCAATTCAACATTTTGTGTGAAGTTCGTCGCTGTAAAATATTTCAAAGAGCACGATAGATGGCAGCTCATTTGCTTAAAAATACAACGCTGATTTTCACGTTTTTTTTTTCATCATCGAATGACTGCTCCCGCCTGGGTGAGGCGGGAGGGAGTGTCAGACTCTTACTGACTAAAAACCACCCCGTTCCTTCTCCTGAACGTCGAGCCGGAGCCCCGGTTACCCGTTAGGTTCTCCGCGACATTTTCACGGTTTAGGTGCCTAATAGTAAAACAAAGTCAGAATACAACAGCAAAATTATGCTTCGCACCTTAAATAAGGTTGTGCCTAAAAAATGTATGTACCTGTACCTTACCTTTCTTGCCTATTAATGAGCGGAATTACAAAACCCTAGGTTTAAGAATTGCCAAGATCACTGTCCAACAACCCCTCGGGGAATTTCAAGCGAGTCTAGTAATGACGATCGACTGCCTCGTTGGCCGAGTGATCGCAAGCGTGCTGCTGGGCAAGGAGTCTCGGGTTCGGTTCCCAGGTCGAGCAAAGTATAACTGGGATTTTTTTAATTTCTCAGGCACTGGGTCTGGAGTCGTGCCCGGTATATGAGGCTCACCCCCTATTACATGGGACTCATAACATAGTGAAGTGTGAATGTTACCTTGTACAGTGGCATTCATTAAGTGCCGTAATATCCACTTCTGCCTGCCTCTTCGGGGATAAAAGCCGTGATGATAAGTCTAGTAATATCCTCAAGATTATTTTCTTTTTCCTTCTCCTTGAGCAAATATTGGTATTACATTGTTCTCACATAAGTAATTAAACTCAACGAAAGAATGTAAGTAACCAAAAATTGAATTGTGAACATGATTGAAAAAGAGTAGGTAACCTATGGAGTTTCTTGGTCGTTCTTCTCCATAGGAATCTACACTTTAGAACGAGCAAATAGCTTCACTAGAGGACTTATTTTCTTATTATTTAATACTTAAATATTTTGTTTTGACGTTCAAAAGTGCCTTCCTGGTCTAATTTAAATAAATGATTTTGACTTTGACTCCTATCCTTTTTACAAACGTATCTATCCAAAGACTCACGATGAACTTTTGGAATAAATTTATGAGTCACAGTTGACTTATTTTTGGTCCAATTTTGGGGTGTATCTCTGATATGAGTATAGCACCGAATTCTAACAAAAACTACGTGAACATGTAGGTACCTACCTAGCAAAAAACCTGACCTAAAAGTAATGGAATTGAGATACTTATATTACAGCTAGCTAGACAGCTATAATTTATAGTTTAAGCCTGTAGTTCCAAACCTAAGCCCTCAATTAATCGCATTCCGTTAACCTAGGTTTCGAAGTTTGCACGTTTGGTGCGGTGGCTGGGCAACCGGCTGCCGCGCAACGTGTAGCGAGTTCGATTCCCGCACGGAGCAACTCTATGTGTGATCCATAGATTGTTGTTCCGGGTCTAAGTGGCATGTAAGTGAACTTCAATGTTTGTAAACGCACCCACTACACAAGAAACTCCTAGTGTGTGGCAACGTTTCTTTTAAGAAAAGATAAAAAAAAGTTCCCAGGTGGCCCCACTACTCCAGATGTCATTCCCATCAAGTCCATGAATTTTAAAATACATAAATCATTCTATGGCGTCTAGGACCTTTAGTTTTCGAGATATAATTGTTTTAGTTATTCACAATAAATTAAAGGACTGCTACTGCTACCCACTACCCAGTGACTGAGCGACTGGCTACTTCGCAATGTATCGCGGTTTTGGTTCCCGTACGGGACAATTCATAAAGTCAAAGTCAAAGTCAAAGTATTTATTTCAAATTAAACCATAGTTTGGTACTTTTGAAACGTCAACAAATACAAAATAAATAATAGTCTGTCAGTCAGTCCGTCAGTGAAGCTAGGTGAAGCTAGGTGCTCATTCCAAAACGTAGATTCGAATGGAGAAGAACGAGCAAGAAACTCCATTCGTTACTCTTTTAAAAAAGTATGTTCTACAATGTCTCATAATAAAAGATGTTGTCAAATGTGAGCTACGTGAAAACATCTAGCGAAAAGTGTTTAATATTGAGGTCCGTATACTTCTGCCGGCCTCTTCCGGGCGTAAAAGGCGTGATATTGCGTGGGAAATGGGTAGATATTATTATGTAGGATGAAATTAAAGATTTTTGGGCGAGTTTGCGCAGACTACATGACGCTACGCCCGGTACGACGCATCATAGTTTAAAGTTTTCAGCACTAAGCAAAGTGCAGCGTGCACTAATACCACCCAAATAAATATCAACACTAATACCATTGAAATAAAGCTTCAACTCCAACGGCCATTTCCCAGTGATGCAAAAAATATCCACCAATATTAATTTGAACTTTATGTCTCACAAAAATAAAGTAGGAATTTCGCTGTCCGTGTTCAAGACAGCGCTGCATAGCGCTGGCTAGTGTTGACAAAACAAAATAGCGCATGCGCGTTGACGTTATTGATTGATAGTCTAACAATTTATCTCGTGGAAGCACCACGGCGCGTCCTCCCGTGGTTTAAAAGATAATAAATATCTATTAAACTGGGGAGTATTCCTTATAATTCACTTGGGAATTCTGCCGAGTTCTGCGATCGTTTTGCCCAAGCGATGGCAATCGACTCAGGACGCTCGCGGCCGAGCAAAACTGACGCTTTCATTCTCACGAATGACAACCATAAGTGGAAGACTCCAGCTTCCCGCCAGGCTATGGTCAACAAGATGTAAGTTGGATTCAAGACTTTATTTTGTTTACAATAAGTCATAGAACTGCCTCTCGAATGAGCTTTATTCTGAAACTCTTTGTTCATTTATTTACTTATTTGGAGTAATCACGCAAAAAAGTAGGTATCTATATTTTTTATGTTGCTTGCTTTTATTTTTGCGTAGCTGTTTTGGTACCTACGTTAAGCAATGCCGCAATATCTAGAATTCAATATTCTGCTCAGCGAATTTTTACCCCATAGTGCTTAAGGTAAATATCACGCCTTTTAAGCACTGAAGGTGTAAGCAGAAAAAATATAGCTAAATAATACTTAACTGACTGCCTCGTTGGCCGAGTGGTCGCAAGTGCGACTACCGGGCAAGGGGTTTCGGGTTCAATTCCCGGGTCGGGCAAAGTATTACTGGGTTTTCAAAAAATTCTCAGTAGTAGCACGGAGTCTGGAATTGTGCCCGGTATATGGCAATAGGCTCACCCCCTATTACATGGGACTTATAACATAAATTAGTGAAAGTGGGTGTTACATTGTACAGTGGCATAATGTGCACCTCTGCCTACCCCGTCGGGGACAACAGGCGTGATGTTACAAACAAAAAATTCAGTACTCAAGCTTGTTTGTTTTATCTTTTGTTGATAATTAGGCAGAGCGTCATAGAAGCGACGGGTCTGCATGAGTACTCAGCGGCGGATTTGGAGGACAGCATCTACCAGAACTCCAAGACCAAGCCGGAGTACGTCATCATGCTGGTCTACATGATGCAGCAGCTCAAGAAAATGTGTATGTATCTACCTATATTTTATTTTTATAATCACCTTTTTTTTTTTTTTTTTTTTTTTAAGGGGGGAAAATCATCGAATGACTGCCCCCGCCTGGGTGAGGCGGGAGGGAGTGTCAGACTCTTACTGACTAAAAACCACCCCGTTCCTTCTCCTGCACGTCGAGCCGGAGCCCCGGTTACCCGTTAGGTTCTCCGCGACTCCGAATCGGCATCGGCCCTATTGGGCCCCATCTGTGGTGGTCTGATGGCTCTTTGAGGCGCGCGCGGAACGCGACGCGCCGTACGCTCGGGTCTGTTTCTGGTCGGACGGGGAGCCACCCATGCTCGCCGTCCGCAGGCCCGCGCTTACGGTGGCCGGAGATCGTCCCGCGATCCCCGACGCCCGGTGTGTCCTTCGCGATGGCTGGGTTGCGAGGAGGCAGCGCTTCGCTGCCTCACGCGTCCCGCCTCCTCCTTAGCTAGCATGACTGCTTCGCAAAAGGAGGAGACGGCATCCCAGTCCCCCTCGCTCCGCATCATGGCCCGCACTAGGCCCGGACGCGAGAGGTCGCCATCGCCGATCACTTCCCTGAGGACACGGCGGTGCTCAGCCCACGAAGGGCATTCTCCCACCGTGTGTTCCACCGTGTCCTCAGGGCGGTCCTCGCAGTGATGACACCCGGACGTTTCCTCCCGCCCCATCAGACACAGGTACCTCCCGAAACTTCCATGTCCGGTGAGGACCTGCGTCAGGCGGTAGGTGAGGACGCCGTAGTTATAATCACCTTAGGTTTATATTTTGTCCAGTGTTGTGGATGGGTCCCGATGACCAACCATTTTCAAAGAACCCTCCTCTTTAGATATAACAGCGCGATCCAGTTTCCAAACAAGTTTCTATTCTAGCGTAATGCACTTCACTCATCATTAGGCGAGCCCATACTAGCCATTATTGCTCCCAAATTGGTACCTGACACGTACCTACTTACCTACTATCAAAATTGCAACGACTTGCAAAAGTCGGCTGGCAAAGAATATTATTTATGGATTACGTAAGGAGGCCATACATGCTAGGTTTTGCATGATGGTTTTAGCCGTGCATGCATAACCGACAGGCAACCCATTTTGTTTTTATTTTTTTTTTTTTAAGGGGGGAAAATCATCGAATGACTTCTCCCGCCTGGGTATATGTGTCTAAAGCCCTAGCGTATGTGTGATTAAACTGTACAGTTATCGGTGTATCGGTGCTCTGTTATGCTTGTCGGTTTTTCATGCACAGTTATAATAACCATCATGCATAACCTTAAACCTAGCGTGTATGGCCTCCTTTAGGTTAGCGTCAGCGCCGCCCATGAACATCCCGATCGCCTAATGTGCAGTCTTAATTAATCTATTTTGTTTTCTTTGTCCCCAGCCGCAAACAAGGCAGGAGACGCGATAGAGGAGGACGACGACTTCATGGTCGATGCCGCCACCTTCACCGACTTCATCTAAACCATCAATATAACATACAGACGACTGCATTCATTAGTTAATAACTGTTGGACGAAACAAGCAAAAACAACCTTTAATACCAACTTAGTAAGGTCCGTGTTGTAAAACGATACTCAAGCTGTGATCTCTGCTCAAGCAGAGTTGGAAAGGGATGCACGTATCTGTTGAATGTATTTGCATCCCTTTTTTCTCTTGACAAGAAAAGAGATATCCGCTAATTATCGTTCTATATTACACTTTACAGTGTCTAACGCGAGTTTCTTTATAATTAACACGATCGAGACGTTGCCGCGTTTAGCTCTCGTATTGGTTAACTAATATGGAACTGGCCAATCAGAGCGCCGAACATCATAAACGTGTCAATTGCGTTATGTAAAACAAGCTTGCATTATTGCACTCTGGCCTCAAAGTTAATGAGTCGAATTTACAAGTCCAATGGCGGTACAGTATACGAGATTGGTGACATCCAGATGGTGCGTAGTAGGTTTTAGAATGACAGGGAATGTTCGGCCAAATTATTTTTTAAAAAGGGGTAATGTTGGTCTAATTATTATTGATTAAGGGGGTGGGGTATTATGGGGATGATAACGGAAAAAGGGTATAGCTAGGGTAGGAAAAAATTTTTGAAATTGGGGTTGGCTTGTCAAAAGGTTTTTTGTAGAAAGATAAGGTATACTAATCAATGCAGACTTCTGTCTCTTTCTGATTGTCTTTACTGTGTTTGGAATAAAATCTGTCAAAATTAAAAAAATTTCGACCTTCAATGTTGTTTTATTTTAATCAAACTACAGAAATTGAACGTTTCACTCTTAGACATCTGTTACAGTTTTAATTACCCTTTTTGCCTTATTGATTGAGATTAATTTAGTTTAATCTACTTTCAACCTTAACATTTTGTAATAAAATGAATAATCTATTATTGAAATTCACGAGTTAGCGACTAATTTCTACACTATAGTAGGTATATCAATGTCAAGACTACCGGCTACCGTTCAGCTCAAAAACAGCTTACACCGAAAAAACCCAAAGTAAAAAAAAGGAAAACACAATAAGTAAAATTTAACATATAACATTTATTGAATAAACAAAACGCAACAATATTACAAAACGGTTCAATCTGGATAATTATCATCCGATGACTCATTTCTGTATTGTTCCCTAAATTGTTCTGTATCTTCATCTTCTCCGTAATAGAAGCCATCATCACTGTCATTCTTATACCCTGGATCATCATCATCATCAGCCTTATGGCAGTGTATTAGACCTCTGTTGGATAAATCTGGATTTTCTGTCAGGACTTTAGCTTTATATTTAGCATATGCTGAACCATATCTCTGAGCATCATCTTGAAGTATGTCCGGTGGATCATCATATATTTTGTCTTCACCCGTGTCACTGGATAGGTCATCTTCTGTAATTAATAAATATATTTTATGACTGCCTGAGAGGTCGCAAGTGCGACTGCCGGGCAAGGGGGCTCGGGTTTGATTCCCGGGTCGGGCAAAGTATTACTGAATTTTTAAAAATCTCAGTAGTAGCACGAAGTCTGAAAAAGGGCCCGGTATATGGCAATAGGCTCAATCCCTATTACATGGGACTCATAACATAAATAGTGAAAAGTGGGTGTTACATTATACAGTGGCATTAAGTGCTGTAATATGCACCTCTGCCTACCCCTTCAGGGGTAAAAGGCGTGATATTATGTTATGTTATTTTATTTTATGTTACTTGACTGCTACTTTTTCTGTTTGTTTAAACAAGTTTATCTCCATAACAACTGTTTCAAATTAAATAATTCTTTTTATGCTAGTCCATTTATCGAAGGAGGCTATAGCTTATAGGCTACTACTAGCGACCCGCCCCGGCTTCGCACCAGTGCAATATGCATGTATTGTACATATAAACCTTCCTTAGGAATCACTATGTCTATTAAAAAAAACTGCATCAAAATCCATTACGGAGTTTTGAAAATGTATGCATAGATAGGGACAGACAGATGCGGATAGCGACTTTGTTTTATACTATGTAGTGATAAATATCATGCTACAATTAATTGAATCAATAGAAGGGAAAACCTACTACGGGTTCATGTTTATTTTCTGAATTCTACTTACCAATATCAACCCTCTGCATAGCTTGCACCATATCCTCTACATCTATGCTGCTGACTTCCGAGTCTGGATAATCATTCCTCCAATTGTTCTCATCATTAGAATCATCATCATCTTCCGCTTCATTGTCTGAGTCTCGCGTTGGATCATATGAATCTAGGACCAAGCCTGTTTCAACACTGTAATTAAATAATGTAGCGATTAGTTAGTGTACTATAATTTGAGTGGAACGATAAATTGTGACAACCTCATAAATCAAATGAAACAACAACCAACACGGCAGGCAGTCATTTATTGTAATAAATCACTAGTGGTCGCAAATGCAACTGCCGGGCAAGGGGTCTAGAGTTCGATTCCCGGGTCGGGGAAAGTATTACTGGGTTTCTAAAAATTCTCAGTAAACGGAAATGTGAAAGAAAGAAAGAAAAAGCATTTATTCAACAATAGGCATGTACACATATGGCATTTGCCCAGTATGGCAATAGGCTCACCTTCTAAGACATGGGAGTCATAACATAAACAGTGAAAAGTGGGTGTTACCTCTGTGTGCACTTCTGTCTACTACTGCAACTAAATACTATCTACTAATAAAACTGAAAAATGAAATAAAAAAAAATATATGCAAAATAATACTTTCCGCAAAACATTATATTAAACTGTCAAACACAGAGCGGTCACCGGTGACCACAACCTATTGTTCTTTAATTGTGTCTATAATGACGGTACTCAACGAGTTAAATCCAGTTTCTGGACAACACTTCATCTACACAATTCCAGAAGCAACAATATAAAAAATAATATAGGCAAGCTAGTAAATAAACAGAAATGGCATGACCGAAATTAAATATACGAAAACATTCTTTCGAAACATACCCCACAAAGTTGTCTATCATAGATATATCAAACTCTTGTTTTATACTGGTATAAAGATCATACGCATATTGTAAGTTCCCATCTTTATCGTCAGTTTTCTGCAGATCAATTAAATTGAGTACATCTGTATTCTCTCCATCGTTATCCTCATCCTTCAAACCTCGACTACAGTTGACTATTTCGTAACGACTCTTTGTCGTAACCTCTTTTCTTTCCTTCCTTAATTTTTCTATGATAGTGTCTACGTTTGGTAGGGTCTGCTGCTTTATATCTGTTTTTGGTAAGAGATTCTTGACATGTGTGGTTTCCTGTGATTAGAGAAGTTTGTATATTATTTATCCATAAGTAGGTGTTACATTATACAGTGACATTTAGTGCCGTAATAAGCACCTCTGTCTACCTATTCGGAAATGATAGGCATGATGATATGATTTAGTCATGAGGATGTCTTGTGACTGATTTCATGATACTATTAAAAATTGACTATAGAGTATACTATAACTGGCTGCCTCATTGGTTGAGTGGTCTTAAGTGCAACTGCTGGGCAAGTTTCGGGTTCAAAATGCATTTTTTTTATGGGACAAGCCCGCCCCAATCTAGCAAAACCGCTGCAACTCTTGTAAGCCAGGATCTATAAGTTTTTTTCAGTTGTCAGCTCATAAACTCAAACCAAGGATGCTCCCAGGCCGAAAATAATTTAGAGGTTAGACAGCAAAATTGTTTACAAAATTGGAACGCTCATTCTAAACACTACACAAATTAAATGTCGCCCTGCTTTGGTGAATTTATTTTATGCCACAGAATGTTCATTAGAAGTACAAGCTTTCATAATATAATTTATACATACTTGATCTTCAACGGTGCCCCGGAACACGAACAACGATGGTGAGATTTCTTCTTTGTCAGTTTTTATCCGTTTGCACATAAGAACCAGCGTGTCCTGTGGATTCTCTTCGAGTCTACGTTTTACTCTCAACACTGTAGAAGATGCCATCTTCACGTATTTATAAATTATTTTCACAATAATAAACTTTAGCGCTCAACGATCAATGACTTTGACATTGACAGGCCAGACAGATTTTTTTCTATAGGATAGGACAGATATTAGCAATTACGTTTAATTTAATTCAGCGCCGACAGAAGAATATATGTTGCTGTATTGTCTTAATTATTAAAATGATATATTATTATAGCTATATAAAAGTAAAACTTGATGTATAAAATTGCCTTATTTATGTATAAATAATAAATATAACATTTATAACAATAAATAATTAATAACTAATAAATTCATAAGCGTATAATAATATTTCTAATGAACCTTATAGAAATAACGAAACGCAAATGCTTTAGAAAAGAAACGTCAACGCGTCATTATCTGTGGTTTTGACATCTTTCTTTAGCTGTTTGTCTTCGTTATGGTTTCATTTCGTTCGTGGTCATTTCTTTTAGTTGGTGAAAAAATTAGTTTGGTGTGGTCGGGATCATTGAACGGACGCTAAATATTCGCGAATTATAGCCAGTTTAATTCAGAATTTTAATGTGTAGTTGCAAATACTGTAACAATTACATGTAGTGGTTTAACATTTAATGAAAATTTGAAACAATTTAACACAATGGCTTCAGACGATAATTGGAGAACTTCGGCGTTCAGGCAGAGTGTGGTGTCCAAAATGTAAGTCATTATCTGTATCATTAACAGTCATTTTAATTGCGCTTGTGTAAAACGTACTGATAACTAATTATTGAATATCCTCGTTTTTGGATTTCAATGTGTTGTTGAGCCTACTTAATCATTATTTAGATACTAACTTTCTGCCCGCGTTTTCCTCTAGCCTAGCTAAGTTTTACCATAATAAGAATAATACCACAAAACACCCCCTTGCAATGTGGAAGGAATATAAACCAAAATAATTTAACATTATCTTATAATATTAATATTAAAGAATTTAGGAATTAAATATACCATGTAATGATTAACTTTACGATATTCACCAATAACTTGAACATCTTGATGATCAAATCAATAACAAACAAAATTAGGTACCTTGATAATGATTCACTAAACGGTAATTAAATTAAATTTCCTATGGAGATACCCCAATACATTTTCCTATAGATACTGAGTCATGTTTTTCCTTTCTTGTAATTATTGTGTAACTTCAAAATCAATCTATGCAATAGAATAAAATGTCATCATCATCATCAGCTTATAAGCCTCATGTCTCTCACAGAGAGGGTTTGAGCATTAATCACCATGCTTGGTCATTGCGATTTCAAATATATAATTAGAAATTAGTTCAGTCTTGTCATGATGTTTGCCTTTACCGTTGGTCAGTGGTGTCTAAATAATCTTAGAAAATATATAAATAATTAAGAAAAAGTGACATTGGTACTTGCCATTGCTAGGTTTCGAACCCACACCCTCATGCATGAGTAGCGGGTGCCTAAACCTCTGGGCCACCACGACTTACATAGAATACTTAAATAGAATAAAATGTATATTAGTTAATAGACTTACGAACCAATAACTCTTAATAAACCACACATCAATATTGAAATAAGAAATTTTATAAGTATTGACATGATTTATTCCCAATCACCACAGTGAGGAGGTGATCCAGCGTTCAGGAGTTCAAGTAGCGCGGAACAGCAGTGAGATGGAGAACCATGTTTTTCTAAAAGCTAAAACTCGGGAAGAATACATGAACATGGTGGCTAAACTTATTTTGCATGTGAGGGAACTTTGTAAGTATACCATTTTACAGTCTAACTAAGATATATATCTACAATTATCAAAATAAAGAACAACTGTATTAAAGTTATGTATGTCTTTCAGCACAATCAAAACAAAATCAAGGCCAGCAGCAAATGCAGGGCCCCAATCAAGGACAAACTGGGCCAAGTCCACAAGTCCAGGCCCAACAAGGGCAACCCCAACAGGGACCTAACAATCAGGGTGGCCTTACACCAGATCCAATCAATGCCCTACAGAATTTAGCGTCACAAGGGTCTAGAAATCAAATGATGACAATGGGACCTCAAGGACAGATGCAGCAGCAAGGTGTGATGGGCCCTAACCCTGGAATGGGAGGCATGCAGGGCCAAATGGGCCAACAAGGTCCAATTGTGTCCCAAGGACCTCAGGCACAGACAGCTACTAGTCTACTTCAAACCTTGAATAGGCCGCAGATGAACATGCAGCTGCAAAACAAGTTGGGAGGTCCAATGGGGATGGTGAGCAACCAGGGCCAGATGGGGAATAACATGGTTGGTGGCATGGGAGGTATGGGTAACCCAATGGGCAGTCAGCTACAGAACCAACTTGCTGGTGGCATGCAAGGACAGATGATGCCAAATATGTCTATGCCCAATTCAATGCAGGTGCCAATGAGTGGGTCCAACACTATGGGTCAAATGCCATGCAACCAGGTGGGCCAAATGGGTCAAATGGCACCAAACAATATGCAAGGGCAGATGCAAGGACAAATGGGTAAGTTCACCCTCAAAATAATAGATCTGTAGATTTTAATTGTAATTCTTTAACATCAAGTATGTTGATAAAACCTATTTTTATGCTATAATTGAACATTTTCTTCAAAAAGTACTTCACTGTATCTTGAAAGGGGTCACTGACACCTACTTCTTAATTATAACAGATAATATATTATTTAAATGATTCATCTTTTAAAATCTCAAAGATGACTTTTAAAAGTGTTATGGTATTTTTTGCAGTAGGTGGCATGGGTAACAACCAGATAGTGGGATTGAATATGCTGCACATGGGTCGCGTGGGAGTCGGCAATAAGCAGGAGGTAGGAGGAATGATGGCGGGCAGTTACCAGGGTGCTAGGGCACCTCCTCCCACTCAGTTTCTTCGTCAGAGTCCTTCGCCCTCCGCTCCTTCACCCAGCATGGGTGGACCTAGTCCTATGGGTGAGTGATAAGTCTTTATTGTTTTAGCAGCCATTTTTAAACAGGTCAAAATATAAGTCTTATTTACTTTGTGCACCAAGGAAGAGATGACTTCAACAAAGTAAGCCTTGACAATTTTACTCACCATTATATATAAATTCTAAACGAAATAATAATAAAAAACAATATTGATTTTATCTCTTTTAGCTGAGAATTAAAATGAGTCAGTCATTAGGCTTTCTTCTATTATATTAGGTAATGGCTTTTTAATGTCTAGTAATTGATTATTAGTAGTAAATATGATATTTGACAACAATATGTGCTATGCCATAGAATAATGACTTCTTTCTGGGCTCCTACAAAATATTGTCTGATGTGTCATAAAATGTACTGTTTATTCTATTAACACCTTCCCACTTTTTGTCAGTCTTTAGATTCTCATAAAGGTAACTTGTGTTATCGTACACCAAGCAATAACTAAAACTTCACACTATTCTTTAGCTGAAATTAAAAGAAACAGAAAACCCAATAGGGATGATGACAGGGTATAAAAATAAAAAAATCTAATTAGTCCGTCAGTTAAGTAATGAAAAAATATTAGACACGTATTTTTTTTCAATCAAAGTTTAGGAATGGGGGCTAAAACGTCATTTCTACGTATAAAATGTACATAGAAGTGACGTCACGCGACATTTTAAATCAATATATCGTCGAAAGTATTCGTTTCTGTAAAAAAATAAAGAATACGTGTCTAATGTTTTAAAATAATCTACCAGACGAACATTAAAATAAAAATTAGTCATCTGCACTATTATATTTTTTTCAGCTCTGAATCCAATTCAAGACTCCTTGCTTTGTTATACATTATCAACAATAGCTAGTCAAACCTACCATATTCACAATGAATAATAAATTACACAATTTTCATTATTAGGTGTGATGGGCACAACGATGACGTCACCGATGTCGTCACTGGGCGGGCTGGGGGCCTGCGGCAGTGTCGGCAGTCCGTCCCCGTCCAACCCAACGCATCTACAACATCATGTGCAACAACCACAGAGGTATGTATGTTATAGACTGAGCAGTTATTTAATTAAGTCTTTAAAGATAGATCAATAAGGTTGTAGTTAGATTGACAACTTGTTTAGAGGAATAGACTGAACAGTTACTTAATTATAATATTTAATTACTAACAAATAAGGTTTTCTTTCGGTTAACAAGTTTTTGAACGTATAAATTTCATTTGTTGGCTCTTTTTGCTGTAAAATCTCTACTATTTTTCAATTGCAGTAGCATATTCAAGTTTTTTATTGGCATTATCTACCAGTTATGGCTACTTTGAACAGCAAAGATGTTAAATTACTAATTAGAACAAAATAATATATCTATTTAATTTTGTAGAGATGTCAATTATTTTTTGACGGAAACAACTAACATTTTTATGTAACTATTCTTTAACAAATTATTTGGCACTATATAACCACATACAAAATTATCCTTACCGTTATAACAATATGGTCTATTATTGTCTGAATACTGGTCGCCTAGGGGCGTCGGTATGGGTATGGTAGCGTCGCCCTCTTCGTCCCTGAACACGCCGGTGGGAGCGAGCGTGGCGTCCCCTGGCGGGGAGGAGGCAGCTTATCGGGAGAAGGTCCGACAACTTTCGAAGTATATCGAACCGCTACGTCGCATGGTGCATCGCATGGTTAGCGAAGGAGAGAGTGAGTATTGCTTTATTATTATTATTTATAGTATGAGTTAAGTTTATGGGACCTCTGCTGTTAAGCAGATATTGTGCCGATATACACTTGCAACACCAGAAATATCATGAGTGCTTTTACGACTATGCAAATATCTTAAATTTTTAATAAAGTACACCATCAATCAACATCAAACCTTTTAGCCCCGAAGGGGTAGGCAGAGGGTGCACAACACCCACTTTTCACTATTTATGTTCAGTCCCCATGTAATAGCGGGTGAGCCTATTGCCATATACCGGGCGCAATTCCAGACTCCATGTTACGACTAAGATTTTTTAAAAAAACCTAGTAATACTTTGCCCGACCCGGTAATCGAACCCGAGACGACGCCAACGAGGCCGTTAAAAAAGTGATTACAAAAAAAGACATCAATTATTCAATTTCTTACAATAATAAAATCATTTAAATCTTTCAGTAATGATGCATACGTACTAATGACTTTGACTTTGTCAATAAACCCACAAAATATGATTAATGCTCATTTCGTTTGACCTCTCTGACCCCTATGTATCATACATTTATAACTGGATTGTTTTGCTGTTTGTTTATCCCATCGTTATGTAGATAAGACATGAGTCATATCATTTACGTATTATTTAACAATTTTCATTGTTACCATTTTATTATATTCTAAGACTAAACTTCTTTCTACATGTCCAAATCAGCGTAACATGGACATGTAGAAAGGATGGATGAAAGTAGAGTAACGAAAGAAGTATACAGAGCGGATATGAATGAGGCCGTCGGTAGAGGGCGCTCTAGACGGACATAATAGTGACCAGATTGGCGATATATTAAAGAAGGGCCAAATTAAAAGTCCTCTTTACCGACGAGCATGCATGAAAAGATTGATGACTGTTAAAGAAGTGGTATGTAGGAATGTAGGAATCGTATGTAGGTAATAGGTATGTAGGAATCGTAGTAATTGGCGTTCCCTAGTCTCTTTGAAAGACAGGCGTGAAGTTATGTATGTATGTATGTACTAAACTTCTTGTAATAGGACAATAACCAAACGTATATTATTATGCACTAGCGCATTTAACGGTCGCTATAATGCTGGGTTAAATCTATACATCTATACAGATAATTAAAATTGGAGTGTCTGTTTGTAATATTCAACATAACTGTTTTTTACTGCATAATATGAAACTTAAAATATTATATTTCTTAAAATTTTTGTCTGTTGCTCCAAAGAGTTGCTCCGTGCGGGAATCGAACACGCTACACCGGTTGTCCAGCTATCGCACCAACCGTGCTGTCTATAGCCATAACTTCACTCAGTGTAAAACCAACTGAGCACTGATTGTAACACTTTTTTCTCGACAGATGTTGAAAAGCTGACAAAAATGAAGAACTTATTGGATATTCTGTCCAACCCCAATAAGCGCATGCCGCTGGAGACTCTCATCAAGTGTGAGGTCGTGCTGGAGAAACTGGACTTCAAGAGGGGAGAGGGAGTCGTTGTTCCCAGCACTGGGAAGGTAAGGAACTTGAGATCTTCTATTTTATTACAGTTAATTGCGCACCGACGGTGTGCCGTAATGAAATCTCTTGCAGAAATATTTGTTAAATACGACGAGTTTAATTTAGATAAAGTCGAAAAGCTATATTGATTTCTGTCTGAATAATAATTATATTTAAATCAAGAACTTGTCTGTAAAAAATACAAGTTTGTATGTTAAAATATAATTTACTCAGCTTTGAACTATTACATGGGACTCATAACATAAATAGTGACAAATGGGTGGTACATTGTACAGTTGCATAATGTGCACCTCTGCCTAGCCCTTCGGGGATAAAAGGCGTGATGTTTTGTTATGTTATGTTGAGATATGTTGAACTATAAAACGATCGCAGCATTTTCTTTTACATACATAATAATAATAAAGTTATAACAATAAAATAATGTACTAAAACCTACATTTTGATACTTACTTGACAATTCTTCTCCCAACAGGAACAAATATTCAATCCGTTGTTAGAAGTAGTAAACAACTGCCTACAATCTCCCCTCGCTAACCACACACTCAAACGCACCTTCGGGTCTGCTCTCGATGCGCTGAATGGACCAGAAATGAGGTAAGAATAACTACACATACAGTTGTCATATTACTTAAGTTGTTAACATTATCCGTGTTCCCGATTGCTTCCTTTCTAAGCCGCTTCCGCTTCTACTTTTTTCACTCCACTCTTTTGTCTTTCGCAAGCTTAAATCTGGACTTTTTTTATGGCATAATAAACGAGCAGACGGATCACCTGATGGTAAGCAATCGGCGTCGTCCATGGACACCTGGAACACCAGAGGCGTTACAAGTGCGTTACCAACCTTTTGGGGATTAGGAGTTTGAGGATCGTTGGGGATTCAGGGATTGGGGAGATTGGAGAAGGGGAGGGTAATTGGGCCTCCGGTAACCTCACTCACACGACGAAACACAACGCAAGCGTTGCTTCACGTCGGTTTTCTGTGAGGCCGTCGTATCACTCCGGTCGAGCCGGCCCATTCGTGCCGACGCATGGCTCTTCCACTTGAAAAGAATGAGGTGATGACAAGGAACCCAAAGATAAAATCAGATATCTCAAGTCTAAATATCACAATATAAAGTTCATGATCATAGTCCGCAAAAAACTAAATTCTTAATAAATAAATATTAATGTTTCCTTTTTAATTCTAGAAATTTACCGACGCCTCAAAAGGTACCAAAATTAGAAGAGCCTCCCATGGAGATTCCAGATGTTCTGCAAGGGGAAATTGCCAGATTAGACTCCAGGTTTAAGGTAAGATATTGACACATTGTTTTACTACAGATAGGTGAAACAAAAACGTTTTATTTTTGGGTGCCACGCCGACGTCTTACGTTACGTCAGCGTCAAAATTGATGTTCTTATTGGCTATAGCTGAGGCATTGAAAAGGTTAATTAGCATTAAAAACAGATTATTATACTAAAACAAACATAGAGACCTACCTAGACCGAAGTAAGCCATAAGCCAAACAAAAACATGTCTATATTATCTTCTCACTATGTCATACCATCACGTACTTTACCCACTACTCCTGCGGCAGGTATCCCTAGAACCAATGTCGTGGTCAGGCGGTGCAGGAGGAGGTGCCATAACCCTGGTGGCCGCGCTGGACGAGCCACGCCTGCCCTGTGTCGCTGGAGTCCACGTCGCCGTCCCAAGGGACTATCCTGCCAGGCCACCCGTCAGACTAAAGCCAAGGACGGCCAAGAATTATGCGCCTGACTCCTTCTTAGCTCGTCTGGAAAAGGCCATGGATGCTCGATGTGCCAGGTAGCTATATTTTGTTATTATTATATACTTTTTGTGGGTTTGAAATCGATACTTACTCCTCTTGTCCTAGATGAGACGGGGGGAGTATTAAATTGTTACTGACTAATTATAATAATTTAATTAAAGTTAGATTTATATTCAGATTGTTCAAGATCCCAATCGTAGTTCGATTTGCTGTGTATCTCGAAGTAAACTAATATTAAAGACCTGTTTCACAATTCAGATATATAAAGAAACTAACAAACATCAGCTTCAAAACACCTCTTACTATTAGCCCAAAGTTTTACCATACTTGCGCAACTACCGCACAACATTTGCGCAACTCACCGTATACATTTCTTCCACAGGTTACCAAAAAGTTGTTCAGTAGGACAGCTACTAGACGCGTGGGAGATGAGTGTGAGACAAGCCTGTGCCCCTACGCCCGTGGCCTACGCCCCAGTCCCAGCGCTGGGCTTGTAAACAAGTAACATATCCTATAAATATACATAGTTCCCTCATCATGCAAAATTAGTCTCTTAACCTACTAAGTACAAAGAGACTGAATTGTTCGTTGAGAGCTATGTATTGTGTTCGTTTGTCGATATAATATTTTAAATATCTCAAGTTTGGAACCGTTTTTAGCTACAATTGATAAAAAGCGGGAGTTTCTATTATGTGTATACTTTTTTGCTAGCTTCGCCCCTAGCTAGCACCAATAACAAATGTAGTAATTGTACTCTGTTGATCTTTGCGCAATGAGACCATTGTATGCCAGAGGCAGTTGTGAGAATTGAACTTGTGAAAACAAACTGCATCTAGATAGCCTTTGGCATGTCCATTTTTCATTGAAAACCGCTTCGAAACCCCAATAAAACGTACATTGTCTTTTTTAAACAATATACTTCATAATTGAGAACAATTAGGTATATTAATAATATTTATTAGTGAATAAAATTTATAAAAATAGGGACAAATTAATTACAGAGGGTTTATCAAGTGTAGTAATATACTGCAATTATGTTAAGATAAATAAATAGTATATATTGTTGATGCATGTTCCTAAATAACTGTATTGTGGAGTGTCTGAACAATTTTCAACCTTGACGACGTGAGTATAAGGTTCTAACTTAAACGTTTTCAGAACCTTAAAGGCTATGGTCATAAGGTTGCAAATCAATTGTAGTGTATAGGTATAGATTCTCATTAGTTTGATTTGAAGTAAAGTCGGAGCATGGTAAAGGATTTTCGACCTTAATTAATTGTGAATAAGGTTGTAAATTATAAATGAGTGGTTCTCCATTTATATATTTTTTACGCATGTGTTGTTCACTTATTTACGTGAGGATTTAGTTTTTAAGTAATTTCAGATAATAGTGATATTGATTTTTTTATTACAGTTGTTTTAGTTAAACTCGTTTTCATATTATCTTTTGTTAATGAAAACCAAAAATGTTTTTGTCTGTACAATATTGTACCTTATGTCCTTTAGATACGATTTCTTTTTGCATGATAGAAACTTGATATTTTTCATGAATTGTACAAGTATACAAAATCAGATTACTTCATGATCTCACCTTTTTCGATATCCTCAATAAAATATGAAATTTTTCTACAAAACTAAGATTAAAAAACTTTAATCTATTCTGTACTATATTTAAAGAGTCATAAGGTACAATTTTGTACAAATATTCATGTTTATGAAATGCTAAATAGGTATAAGAATAAAATAAGAATAAAATGTAAGAATAGAGGGATCTTCTAATTTTAATGACATATATTATTATATATTTTGCATACGTGATATATAATCTGTGATAGTTTGAAGAATTATATGATACTTGTATTCACAGTAGATAAAGTAATATTTACTTCAAAATCTTCAAATTTAACTTTGACATTGAAATTCCGACTTTATTGTCTTCGTAATATGATTCATTTTAGTTTGACACTAATGTTTATGGGTATTATTCGTTTTATTTCAATAGGAATCGTTCTGATATTGAATTGACGACCTTAATATAATGAGATGTAGAGTTTAAATTGGTATAACGCACACAGTAACAATTTTAGTTTTCATTTTTGTGTTATAGAACAAAATTTAGGAATGATCTTGAATGAAAATCATTACTTGCATGTTGTAGTTAAAAATTGTGTAATAGCGATGCTATCGACATGTTATCCTTTTTGCATATGTCACGGAGAACCTAACGGGTAACCGGGCTCCGGCTCGACGTGCAGGAGAAGGAACGGGGTGGTTTTTAGTCAGTAAGAGTCTGACGCTCCCTCCCGCCTCACCCAGGCGGGAGCATGCATTGGCAACATCAACGTCGCTTGCGACACGTGGTGCACGACACGCTCGAAGCGCTTCGCTTCAAGCTTCCTTGTGCGTACTGCTAAGGAGTGGAATTCTTTGCCAGAGTCTGTATTTCCTGAAGGTTATAATGGGATAGCCTGGGTGTCTTCAAGGCCCGAGTGAATAGGTTGCTCATGGGACGATGTGCTCCATCGTAGACCGCTTACCACCAGGCGAGATAGAGGTCAAACGTCGATCCATAAAATATAAATAAAAATTGTCCCCTATTGTCCTTGGCTTAAAAACTACGTAATTTCCCATGATTGTAGATAGGAAAGTGTAGCCAGATATAAGACCTATTTTCGAATACCGGTAAATAAGATCACAATAATATTTTACTAAACTAAAAATTGTACCCTGGTTAGTATGGGTACTATGCCACATCTTTCTACTTCCATATATTCCCAGAATTTCTATACATCCAGACTTCCATTCTTACCTAAAAGACTTGAGATGAACGTATTAACTTTTAATAATACAAAATAATTAATTGTGGGCGGAGATTTTAACAACGACAACTCATAAAGAAACAAATATGGCGTTGTTAAGACGTAAACATTATTTTAAATGCTGATTTTTCAATTTATATCATTCTAGATTAAATTAATTTCTTACCCGACTAAGAAAAATAACTTCGGGCTGGAAAAAGGGCTTCACACGGGTGCAATATGCATGTATTATATATATAAACCTTCCTTAATTTATTTCCTATCTATTTAACAAAAGCGTATCAAAATCCGTAGCGTACTTTAAAAGATCTAAGCATACATAGGGACAGACAGATGACGGATAGCGACTATGTTTTATACTATGTAGTGATATTGTATCGAGATTCGGTTAGATCATTTAATCTTTTGGTCTGTTAGGAAGCATGTTACCTGAATTTGTCCATAGAATAATAATAACTTTATTTTATTTGGTGGTTTTGTGGAAGCCATTTACTTTCATGTATATTGAAATGATGATTGAGAAATTTAATCAGCCTCGAATATTTAAAGAAATGCCCCCGTAATTAATATGGAGAAAAGATGATATTTTTATATTTTTTCATGAAGGTCCCTTTTTATGGAGTTTTGATCGACTTATTGTTGTAAATGTGTATTGAAATAAGCAATAATTTACTTGTTTGTATTTTAAAATAAAATGTAATTTAACTGGTATTTAATGTGTGTTATTTACAATGAAACCTTCTTGTTCTTTGAATCCTTTTCACCCGTTGGCTGATGGTATATAAGATAAGACACAATAGAAAACTCATTGTGTTTCGCGTAGATCTACGTTCCGGTATACGGTATACCACAGGGCCTTCAAAAAAACCAACGTAAAATATTGAATGATAGTAACGATATTCCGCAGAATTTTTGGTAAAAAATAATAATTTTGAAAGGTTGTAAACTGGACTTAATCTTTATAATGATTCTAACGACTGTAATCAGTTGCTAATTACAAACATCAAAGTAATATACTCATAATCAAAAAGTCGTAAGTTTTTTCCAAGCTTTGACGCAAAAAAAGAAAAGTTAAATAAATTGTTGTGAAATTCATTTTTACTACAAAGTTTGACGCATAGTCTATTTGATTAAACTTATGCGTTGTATTATCGCTCGCTAGATGGTGCTAGCGTGAACCTCTTGTTTTGGCCCATTAGGGAAGTAGCTAATATTCCACCATTGGACATTCAATATGTGACAGCTGCTGTGAATGGACAATAAAGCACTTGCTACATTTTCACTAATTGATGACCAAAAACTCGGTAGCCCCATTTGAAAGGCCACAAAACAAAAAACAACATAGACTTGTACATGACATTTAATACAACAACATTACAATGAGAACTGGTACAGTTGCGTGTTAGGTCGCGAGGGTCGCGCGCGCGTGCAGGCCGCGTCCCGCCGCGCCGCGCCGCAGCACGACCAGTGTCGCGTGCCCGGCCACCCTGCGTGCCCGTGCCCACACCCTGCCACACAGTTCAATATTATACACTAATATACTTCGTTTACTCAACTTAGTAATTAAATTAACTAAAACCACGTGAGTACCGTGAATATACCGAGAAAAGATCTAATAAACAGGAAGAACCCCTCTGTGGTTCGAAACTAGTAGAGCTTTTCTCAGTATATTCACGTGAGTAACCCGCGAATTTAGTTAATTTAGGAAGTATCTCACGATAATTATTATAAAATCTTGGTAGTTAAATATTTGGATTGGATCGAAAAGGAATTTAAGTGGCAACTTCAACTTTGGTTTAGCAGTCTAAAGGCGCTAGTGTCGCATTAGGTTTCATCCATATATTCTGTAAAATAATTGATGCTTTTTATACAATTTGACGGTTTTAATTAGAACCAGAACAGAAAAATTCTTGTAGTGTTGGTTCATTAAGGTCGTTACTTTTTCATTTATGATTTGAAAAGACTCAATCATTATTAACCGTCGGCAATATTTGCTGTTGACCTATGGCCCTCCTATATTTAAAAGGATTTCATAATCTTCATAATGAGGACGGTATCTCCTCATACCCTTACGTTATCTATCTCCATCTTATATCGTCTCCACCTATCAAAAATACAATGAAAGAATATTCTAACCTTTATATCCTCCCGGCATCCGAGCTCCACAGCCACAGGTAGCGTCCCGGCGGCCGCCCGACGAGCAGAATGCGCAGCAGTGGTACGTGCCCCAGTGCGCCGCGCCGGCTCGGGCACAGCACGCGAATGGACTGCCCTGCACCATGGAACGACATACTTTACATTGAAGATCCTTCAAAAGTCTTTGCAAATGTGACATCTGTATAATTACATATCATCCCACCCAATTTTGTTTCACCAAATTTATCCAGCTCGCAAGTTATAGGTAAATTTATTTTATCTACGCTGATAATATCGTACAAATGTAGTCTAAACATCGGAAATAAGGTGTGTAATGGAGTTAGTGGAGAGCGGTCACTAGTGACCGCTTGTGCATTGAACAGTTAATATAAATTGAATCAGACCAAAAAATATTCAGGGACATCTTACGAACCTTAATTGGCTTATTATTAATAGTGACAGCGAGTAGATAAGCTCCAGGCGAGCGAGGCGTGATGCTGAGCTTGTAGGTACCATCCGTACTGTCCGTCACACGAGCCATGCTCGGACGGGCGCTGGAGTCACGGCGGCGGAAGTATCCAGCCACCTTATCAGTGAGAAATCAACAATGATGACCAGACATTTGAAAACAAAATTGTTGACCATAATTATGTATCTTTAAGTAAGTATCGCTTAAAGAACTGAAAGATGGTTCTCTTGAATTGGTCTTTGGTCGAATAATCAAAAAGCAAAAGAAAAAAAAGTGCGTAGCCTAATCATCAAATAGATAATTTATGGATGATCTGATCCTCTTTGAGTGTCAAACTTTCAAATAGATAATCTCACCTGTTCACCACCACACCAGATCCGTTCACCATTGTTGTCCCGGAGCTCCAGCGTCACCTCATGCTCACAGTCCACTCGCATGTCTTGTAGACCTTTACACAAAGAAAACAAGGCATATAGGTAACTCCGGAACTGCTGTACCCCGAATACCTGATGCTCCTTATAGATGCTGATGGTGGTTACCGTGGTGGTTTCAGTTAGGTAGAAATGGCAGTACCTAAGTCTTTCCTCCCAAAAGCTAAACCCTTTTTAAAGATATGTTACATTTTTAGTAAAAATATACCTTAAGATTTATTTCATGCATACCACCTATCCATTTGAGACCTAAATTCCAAAAATTGCTAAACGCTGGTGAGGCCGTAGAAGAACCGAAAGGACCAGGCTGCATATCTTTCTTGCAGGCGATGGTGATCCCTCATAAGACCGAGGATGCTGGTTGGCTGCGACTTGATTACCGCTCAGCCGATAAGTGATGGATGAGAGGGATGGCGATAGGATGACGGTGCTGATCTGCTCCGTGATGTGAAGGTTGCTTCACGTCGAGGACACCACTTTAGGGAACAGAGAGTAAAGCTTTAAACTCTCACCTTCAGTATTAACAACGCACATTTCAGGATCTGGTGCATGGGCCAGTAGTCTCCCGAAGATAGTAGGATCATGTGTGGCCGGGGCGCGGGGGGCGAAGCGCAACTCCAGTCGTGGAGGCTCCGACAGCGGCTGCAATTCTGTGACACGCTCTAAGCGCCGTAGAACTGGTCCACTGAGCGATAGGAGCTCGTCTTCTTTACCTTCTGATAGGAGCTGTGAGGAAGATGTAGACGTGTTTTATTCTGATTGAAGAATAATTTATTTGATTTGCTTCGGTGGTGGTTTTTCTTACTGATACAGGTTACATGTGGAGGTAAAACAGGAGTACTTAACAAAAAGCTTTTAATATTTATATTTCTTAACATTCGTTATGCTACCTTAGTTTTTAGAAGTGAAGTATATCTTACAGTCTTACTATTCATCTTTCAACATTCACATAGTTTGTAATCATTTGATTATTAGCCTGCCTCGTTGGCCGAGTGGTCGGAAGTGCAACTGCCGGGCAAGGGGTCTTGGGTTCGATTCTCGAGTCGGGCAAAGTACTATGTTTTTAAAAATAATCTCAGTAATAGCACGGAATTTGAAATTGTGCTCGGTACATGACAATAAGCTCACCCTCTATTACATGGGACTCATAACATAAATAGTGAAAAGTGTGTGTTACAATGTGCATCTCTGTTCCCTTCGGGGATATAAGCCTATAAGGTATGATGTTGTCGCGGAGAACCTAACGGGTAACCGGGCTCCGGCTCGACGTGCAGGAGAAGGAACGGGGTGGTTTTTAGTCAGTAAGAGTCTGACACTCCCTCCCGCCTCACCCAGACGGGAGCAGTCATTCGATGATTTTACCCCCTTAAAAAAAAAAAAAATAAGGTATGATGTTATGTTATGGTGATTAGAATCCTGCACTGACCTCTTCAGCAAACCGGACAGCATCAGCAGCATGTCTGGCCGTGTCGCCGAGTGCCGTGGTGCTGTGGTCGAGCGCGTGTCGGTGCGCGCGGCGGGCGCGCGCGGCGGCCGCACACAGGCCGCGCGTGTGCGCGTCCACGGCGCGTCTGTACTGCGCCGCCCACTCGTGGACCTCACTCTCTACGCGGGCTGCTTGACACTGGACGAACAACGTTTTAAATAGGATCGTTGGAAGTCGGAATCAAGCGGTTGATTTTGTGTTGCATCGTTATAAGAATAAATTAAACCGAAGTGTTAGATGTTATGAAATTTATTATTTCATTAGCTTTTACCCGCGGCTTTGCCTACAAATTCCTGTTTCATACCATGAAAGCATTTTATCCTGATATCACCTAAGTCAGCACATACCCTGCCTGCATACCAAATTTCAGTGTTATTGACGGACAAACATACAAACAATGTGTGATTTAATTCGTCGAGTACCGGTTTTGTAGACACAATTATAGAACAATAGGTTGCGGTCACCGGTGACCGCTTGGTGTTTGACAGTTTAAACCCATTCTGATGCCGTGCAAATTGGGTAACTCTAAATTTTTCGGACTACGTAGTTCATTGTGGGACAAAATGATTAACCAGGTCGATTCAAAATTTTCTTCAGCAATTTCAAAAGATAAAATACCAACAACCAACAGCTCTGTTTCACTGATGAAACTGCCAATCTTGGTGACTCAATTATTTACTTCGTTATATTAGTTACTTACGTCTATCTCATAAGCGTGCGCGCTAAGGTTCCTAGTAGCTCGCTCCACATTCTCAGGCACTAGTTTAGCACGATCCGCTGCATCGCGCAGCAGCCGAGCCCGCTCAGCCGCAGCACGGGATGCGTTAGCTAGGGCGTGGCCGCTGTGAGAGACTAGGCAGCAGTCTCGGCATATAACCTAAAGAAAAGGACTACGTATAAACAATTCTTAACTGTTATAACTTTAATCTCAGACCTCTGATGGATTCATTTAGGAACTTAGGACCGTCATCAGTTGACATGAAGAACTTTAGGTTGTGACTGTTTTTACTTTTCTGTGCTATAATTTAAAATTTCATGGATTGCTTTACGAATTTGACTGACCGGTTGACGTGGTAGTTGGGGAACTGACTGCCGCGCAATGTGTCGCGGGTTCGATTCCCGCACGGAACAACTCTTTGTGTGATCCACAGATTGTTGTTCCGGGTCTGGGTGTCATGTGTATGTGAACTTGTATGTTTGTAAACGCACCCACGACACAGGAGACAATCCTAGTGTGGGGCAATGTTTCTTTTTTCTTTTTTTAATTCCATTGACATTTCAGTTCAAAGATGAATCAGTTCAGTATCTGTGATTTCATTGGAGATAGCGCTTAAAATCAATTACCGAAGTGATCAATCGATGTTGTTTTACCCAGCAAGCATGGTAAAACACTATTTTCTATACAGAGATTAGGCAGTTTAACTTGTAACCATGAAAACAGTACCTGTTGACATGTAGCACAATAAACACTAAGGTCAGCCTTCGGATGCTGAGTGCAGTACTTCACGGGAGCCGGGTCGAGTGGCTGCAGGGAGTGGCGGGCCGTTGACTTCTGTTTGCCGTGCGCCTCTCCACATGATGTGCAAATACTGACCAGGCATTGATTGCACCGGGTTTCTGCCTGTAAGAGGAATGGTAAAAATTGAAAGTCGAAAAAGATTTGTTAGATAAAAAGCTGAGAGGTGTAATATAAGAGGAATATTAACAGCCTATGATAGTCCTGCAGGACTATATGGGTCTCTCCTATATAAGAGAGCACCTGTGCGACAATAATATGCTATCCTCACAGGTAGCGGATATCCTTATAGATAAACGGATTACAGATTGCAATTTAAATGAACGCTGTTGACTGGTCTTTACTGAATGTGTAGTGGTTTAGACGGCTCTCATACGACATCTAGATACGGGACAAATAGGAGTAGTGATAGTGACAAGCGTGTTCTACTATATAGTCACTAACAACAATAAAAATATACACATTAAAACAACATAACATAACAGTAATGTTCCATTCATTTCCATAGAATGGGTAGACAGAGGTGCACATTATGCCACTGTACAATGTAACACCCACTTTTCACTAATTATGTTATGCTATTGCCATACACCAGGCACATTTCCAGAGTCCGTACTACTACTGATGTTTTTTAAAAACCCTGTAAAACTTTGCCCGACCCGAGAATCGATCCCGAGACCCCTTGTTCGGCAGTCGCACTTGCGACCACTCGACACACATTTAAATATACCAAATATAGTTCAAATACAATACCAACTAGCATTCTGTAAGTGAAACGTACGGGAACGGAACGAATGGTAATTTGTTGAAACCCACACATTTGATGCGTGCGACTCACGGTTGAAATCCTTCACGTGCGATCCAATATCTTAAAATACTTTTTTGTCGGATTTGTATTGGATATTTGAAACAAAGAATGGCTTGGCTATAGCTGTTAAAGAAATATGGGCATTGCTTTGTGGTTCTTTTACAATAGATTAGGTAGTATCTTTTTCACCGACTAATTTAGTATCTACTTATGCGTTTAAGAATAAGATCTGTTTTTAATATGTATTAAGTTAAAGTCTCACTTGAGCAATCGTCGCCCATGGACACCTGGAACACTAGAGGCGTTACCAGTGCGTTACTGGCCTTTTGGGATTAGGAACTTGCGGATTGTTGGGGAGATAAGGGAGCGGGTAGGTAATTGGACCTCCAGTAACCTCACACGACGAAACACAAGGCAAGCGTTGTTTCACGTCGCTTTTCTGTGAGACCGTGGCATCACTCCGATCGAGTCGGCCCATTCGCGCCGAAGCATGGCTCTCCCACGTTTTCTGTACAAGCTACGCACTGTAGGTAATATACTTTTTGCACAGACAACTCCCAAAAGCAGTGTCCGAAAACAAGATACAACTTTTGTTTACAATACGAAATCATAAATGTATAGACGTCAGCAAACTATCTAATTATAATCTAGAAGCTCGTTAATGCTTTAATTTCTTCACATTAAACTATGGAACAGAGCGATGTGAAATCATAATTTTCTGCCTTCGCAGAGAAAATTGACAATTCCCTGAATATATTACACATAGATCAAAGTAACTTTCAATATGCTGGTAACTGCTGTTACCCGAAATGCTGTAAAAACATTCAATATCATCACGGTTATTTACGCCAAAGGAGTTAGTGCTATGAAGACGGAATTTAATTAACACAAAATTGCTTGGGATTTACTTTTACTGGAAATATGGAAATGACGTGTCGTAAAAGTGTCTAAAAGTCTCGAAATCAAGTGAAACAAGTGAAACAAGTGAATTTATTTCTGCAAATAGGCTACAAGGCAGCACTTTTACACGTCAATTTTATCAAGCGAACGATGAGGTCGACATTTCCTAACTGACTACTCTGAGAAGAAATGACGAAACAAACTGAGAGGTCTGTCTCTTTTAAAGTCCAGACAATATGTATAACAGATTATGTGTGATATATTATCTGTGAGCTCGATCGCATTCTCGCCCGTCATGGCGGACTGCTGTCGAGTTTAATTCGAATTTCGAATTGAAAGGTAGGTACAGTATTTTGTTCTGAGCAGATATTGCATCGATCGTATAGAACCACCTGTGAGAAAGAAGAGAGATTTTATCATAACACCCTTTAAGTTTCAGAAGTCGCCGGCAGGACGGTAGATAGATCTGTCCTCGGCGGTATTTGCGAACCGATACGACCTTCACCTTCAAGAAAAGAGGTTGGTGCTGCAGGTGCTGCAGGTGCTCTGGTGTTGCAGGTGTCCATGGGGATCGCTTACTATCAGGTGATCCACCTGCTCGTTTGCCTCCTATTCCACAAAAAAGGACAGGCAAAGATGGTACCTATGTTGTGACATTTAAAAATAGTAGAACGCGATCATAATGTTTCGTTGTACTCCTAAGAAGTTAGGAATTGAAAAACTGATTGTTAGATAAGTTCATCGATCAGCAATTCATGCAGTCGTTCATGTTTTTCTCAGCAGTAGAACTTGTGAGTTTTATCAAGTAATGCGGATAAGTAATCAAGATTTTAAGCAGTAGTATTAACGTTGATAAGTTTTCAATGAAAGTCCCACCTTATTGTCACTGCTACAAAGATCACATAACACGTGGATTCCCTCGCTATCCTGCACAGCGGCCATCTTGCGGAGCAGCACATAATTGAGAGGTAATGCTGCTATTCCTCCCAGAGGTAACTGTGTCTCGTGTCCACAGATCGGACATAGAAGGAACTGGACGCTTTTGCCTGATACCTGGAATAATGGAGGCGGTCTGATGATGGTCTTCATATTTTTACAAAGAAGAGCCAAGATGAATACCCTACATGAGGAATTAAGCACTATCTGTTTCTGTGTTTGTAAAGTTTTCTCGAATAGCTTACGTGAGTAAGCTTTTTTATTTTACATATTTCAATTGATTGTATGTATGTCCTCCGAAATGAACAAACAATCAAATTTTTTAAGGGGGTAAATCATCGAATGACTCCTCCCGCCTGGGTTAGGCGGGATTGTCAGACTCTTACTGACTAAAAACCACCCCGTTCCTTCTCCTGCACGTCGAGCCGGAGCCCCGGTTACCCGTTAGGTTCTCCGCGACAAAATGTTTGGATTAGGATTATTTTTGACACCGATTTGGAGTTTCTGTAACCGGAAACGATCCAGATATTTTTGATTTAGATATGTTCATTTCGGCTGTTAGACTTAGAAACTTACGAAACTTCTTCAAGACAAATATAGCCTGTTATTATCTACAACACCATCACTAACCTTTCTAGTCAAAATAGCATATTTATGTTGCTGCTGCTGCTTCTGCTCCCAGCTGCCTTCAGACCCTGAGTGACGTAGATCGCTCTCATATCCTGAGCCTGCAGACCCAGCGCCAGATCCTGACCGAGATCCACCTGGATCTAATTGAACTGAACCTGGAACAATGTAAAAAAACATATATAACCATAGAATGCCATAGATATATCTAGGTGGCCTACTTACTACAATAATCGTATGTAAGCGACATATTGTATGAATTAAAAATAGGATTAAATTACAACTAATAAATGAATGTTATGAGTAGGAAATTTTTATAATACTTATCAATAGCTGACGTTACATAATACCCATAGCCCTCTCAACTACTTCAGAGCCCCCTATTTTTTTCTAAGCCGGGTAACCGGGGCTCCGGCTCGACGTGCACGTACTATAACGGGCTGGTGCTGAGTCAGTAAGAGTCTGACACTCCCTCCCGTCTCACCTAGGCGGGAGCAGTCATTCGATGATTTTCCCCCCTTAAAAAAAACCGGAGCCCAATCTGTTTGCTCCTTTACCGGCTTATCCCATAAAAAAGTACCTACCTAAGTCATATTACCGATTATTGTACTCTTCTTGTTTCAATAGTACATTATATCTAGGTATTAACCTGTTTTCTTATTCTTTACTTATAAATCAAGCTTATGGTTTACGTTGTTTTGTAAACGAATGATAAAGATATCTAGTACGATAGTGTAATTACAACTGCGTAGACAAACAGGCGGTGCGTGAAACATTTACATCATTACAGTGCCACTTGTGTTTGTATGAGTCAAAGATTTTGGCAAAGAAATTGGTTTTACCGGAACTTACTGATATACATCTTGACATTGAGATCTCTGATTCATTTACTATTAATAATGTGCTCGTTTATTATTATATTGCTAACTAGTTTATCAGGGACGTAAGTACTTTGACTCTTGTAGTTTGGAAGAAAACGCGTTTCGTTTCTGAAATTGGAAAAGATGACTCCGTACCTATGCTTCCAATATCTATACTAATATAGTAAAGACAATTTCCGGAACAGATGATTTCAAATTTGAAAATTCGGTAATGTAGTAGTTAGCCAGTGTTTGCTTTAAAGATTGAACGATTATTAAGAATTCTTATTTCATCTTATCATAGTTAGTATAGGTACCTAAGTATTTTGTACTAAACTAAATCTTAACTAAAATCGCGGGTGACTCACGTGAATATACTAAGAAAAGCTCTACAAAATAGTTTCGAACCACAGAGGGGTTCTTCCTCATGAGCAGCGTGCGCGGTCGCGGCGACGTCGCGCAGCCCACTATTGAGAGCTTTAGTTAATTTAGTATGTCTCACTATAGTTATTATAAAAACTAAATCTTGTACCTGTATGAGATAGGACTAACTGCAAGAACACTACTGAAAACTTAAAAACCAGAGACCACACAACAAACAAACGTACACAGAAAAGAGCTCATAACAAAACATCTTAAAATATGAAACGTAAACAGCAACAGGTTCATATTAATAACATTAGCGTTTACTACAAACAAACTATAAACTGTAACAATGTATTCAGGTCGATCCTAACATAAACCATTGAACCACAGCTAATTTAAACTCTGACTTAATAAAAGATGATTCTCTGAATGATAACAATAATAAACTTCACGTATATTAATGCTCAACGCCCGGTTAATTTCTTATTGTTATTGTTTTAGTGTTACGGCTGTTTAAAAGTAAACGCCTTCAGTCAATTTTGTTTGCAAGTCAGTCTTCTGGAGACTGAGTGGCTGACAGACAATGCACAGCCGAAATTAGTGGTTGTAGAGAGGCAGTCGGTTGATTGAGAAATGGAAATGGAGCGACTGTCTGTCGGGAAAAGTACAACTGGGTTTTAAAAAAAATCTAAGTAGTAGCACGGAGTCTGGAAATGTGCATTACATGGGACTCATAACATAAATAATGAAAAGTGGGTGTTACTTCAGTGTGCACCACTGCCTACCCCTTCGGGGATAAAAGGCGTGATGTTATGTATGTTATGGAAATGGAGGGAGACTTGTATGTTTGTAAACGCACCAACGACACAGGAGAAAATACTAGTGTGGGCCAAAGTTTAAAAAAAAAGAAGAAAAAAGAAGAAGGAGGCTTCTCTATATAGGAGATAATAATTTGAATAGCTCTCGTGCTGCCAGGGTAGAATAATCTGAAAGAGCATGTGTTACGGATAATGTTTACAAATCTTTCTTGTTAGGTAAAAAACAAGAGATGGACAGACATTGCACGATTGAAAGTAGGTCATAGCTAAGTAGCTATTGAAAGTAGGTACAGGTCATATCTAAGTACCGTAAAATGGGGTGAATAAGGATCGAGAGGTGAATAGGAACATAAGAGAATGAATAGATATAAGGAAATTCTTCATAGTAGCGATTCACCCCCTTCTGTCCCTTTTCGCCGCTCAAAATCTATTCACCCCATTTTATCGTAGTTTAAGTTTGGTATTGCAATTTTTTGAAGCGTAGAAAAACATAACCTGTGAAGGGTCGGAACTAGGGTTGCCACCGTTTTCTTTGGTATTTAAAGTACACTGACGATTATAGGTAAGAAAAAAAAGTACACAGTACAAAAATAAAGTACAAATTATTCTTATTTAGTATTCTATTTAAAAATATTTTTTTGCTTTTTGCAGTTTGTATTAAATTAGTACCTTTAAACAATTGCATTGAAATACTAGACAATTGCATCTTTACTACAAATTGTCTAAGTGGCGCTGGCAAGTATCGATTCAACATAAATCGATAAATATCGATATCGAATCGATAAGTTTACCGAAAAATACTTACGACTTTAATAGAAATGAAGTTTGCAAAAATAAAGTATTTTTGTGTACTTTATTATTCTTATAAAGTATAGATTACAATTACCTTAAATAACGTACAATACTTTATTATAAAGTACGGGTGGCAATCCTAGTCGGAACCCAGAATTATGCGAGATCTATTGTGATTCTATTGTGTCTTAAATCGACAAACAAGAGGTTAATTAAGAGAGAAAAAATCTTTGAATAATATTGTATGCACATATCAAGTCGTGGGCATAAGCTTGTAGGTGAGTGTGTTTCGATATTCTTGCATATGTTTGTAATTATTGATTCGTAGAACTCTTGAGTTGAATGAGATCCTGGTACATCATGCGTTTGAAGTATGAATAACTGTACCTTTAATTCTCTGAACGGGGTAGGCAGGGCAGAAGTGCAGTTATTATTGGAACCTAATGAATTCACTAGTACCTAATCGCCTTATGTTTAATAATCACAACTAATTTACTGATAACATTATAGGATGGAAAATAATGTGCACCTATCTTATCCCCTATACTTATACTCTTTGACCTATCTTTTAGAAAATGGTTATAGAATAAACAAAGACACAGAACGAAAACAAAACACAATTTTAGAAATTATACATATAAAAAATGTTGCATGATGGGTGGGGTTGTTGGGCAACTGGCTGCCACGCAACGTGTCGCGGGTTCGATTCCCGTACGGAACAACTCTTTGTCTGATCCACAGATTGTTGTTCCGAGTCTGGGTGTCATTGTGTATGTGAACTTGTATGTTTGTAAATGCACCCACGACACAGGAGAAAATCCTAGTGTGGGGCAACGTTGTTTTTTTAAAAAAAGAAAACTTGAACTATTGGTATTTCAGTACGGCATAATGTTTGTTTGTGAAGCCCTGTCATAGCGCGGCCGGTGGCAACCCTAAATATAGAAACACATTAGCTTAGTTCCTGTTTGAATCAACGAGACATAACCGAGTTACATTATGCTTACTGACTTATCTACTGTTAACTGGTAGCAATCCTATGTTTCCTTTGAAAATAATTTCCCCCTCAAAATCATCGAAGGTCTCATTCATGGTATCCATTGTGGTATCCATTCAATAATTGTGTTCAAGGCAAAGTCCTCCAACCTCGATGTATGTAAGCATGAAAAGCATAATAGCCGTACCTACATCATATATCCAGGCACAAAACAACTGGTTATGGCCGAATACTGAAAGGCTTAATTTATTTAAGTTGTACTTAAATATCGTGCCATTTCTGTCGTTTTAAAATAATTTGTAGAGACAGAACTATAATTAAGGGAAGTAAAATTGAGTACAGTTTCAGTATTTCGATAAGCCTATCAAAGTTAGTCAGAAAAATTGTGATGTTTGCTTCTCAACCCGTAATCAAAGTTTCGTATCTACCTATTGAAATCTGTGGTGAATCAATCCAAGTCTTTGACAAAAAACTCCGTGCAACTAACGCCTGGATTGGTTTTGGTTTTTGATAGAAAATAACATAACATCACGCCTTTTATCCCCGAATGGTGGTGGTGTACATTATTCTCGGGTTCGATTCCCGAGTCAGGCAAAGTAGGTATTACTGAGCTTTTAAAAATTCTCAGTAGTAGCACGGAGTCTGGAATTGTGCCCGGTATATGGCAATAGGCTCACCCCCTATTACATGGGACTCGTAACATAAATAGTGAAAAGTGGGTGGTTACATTGTACAGTGATACAAAATCTATGTGATTTAAAAACTCGATCTTAATCGAAAGATAATACTGATTATTAATCTTGGTCGTCAAGCAGTATCCACTTTGAAATAAAATAATATATCTAATAATGTAAGCAAGTTGACATAAAATAGGTCCGATCACAATGATGAGATTAAGCGGCTAGGTCAGAAGACTAGTTGAATGGCTTCCACACCGCCGTACATACGGAACGTACTTCGAGCATCACCGGACTTCAATACAATAATGTTGTTACTACTTACAATGATAAATAGGACGAATGTGAAATTTTGACGTGATCATTTTATGAATAGGAGTTTTTATTGTAAATACCTATATGAGTACCAAGTATAGATTTTAGTGAGTTTATGGACATATAATTAATTCAAATGTCTCATAACATTTTTGCAGCTTACCACCTACCACATACATTTCTGCACTACCCAAAATATGACTGGCAGAGAATGCTGCTAGCATTAAGTCTTCCTTATGCAATTGTATAAAACTTAAATAAATAAAATAATTAAGAGATCTTTCTCTTAACTAGGTTACCCAAGAATAGGTATACCTTCACTGCCAGGTATTGTATGTCTCTAATACCTATTCCAACCGGCCTATCTGGAAGTTATTGGGCGAGGCCTATGTTCAGCAGTCGTCCTATGGCTGATATGATGATGATGAATACCTATTCATACCATTTTTAACGAGTAGGATTCCTCATTGACTCATTCTTCTCTACTGCTTCATCCATCATCACGATCATCATCGTCATTACCATCAACGGTATGGGTAGTGACAAATCTGTTTTATCAGCCAGCATCATATATAATCAGCATACACAATCTAGATATAAAAGTTCTCTACCTACCTTCAATAAAATCAATAATACCTAACTTCAATACAAAGGCGTCTTATAGATCAAAAGGCACAATAAACCTACTTAGCGAGCCAATAATACTCTAAATGCAACAAATGAGCATCCAGGAGTAAATAGTCCAACCAATTCCAATTGATCCATTAATGACCCATTACTCCTGATAATAGCCCTTTCAGATGCCCCCTGCTGACTGACTGGTGAGGCTATTAAAACGCCATATTTTACCATAAAAACAAAACCATTGTAAAAAGATCTGTCAAAAATGTGCCCTGTGAAGGATATTGTATAGAAGTCTGTGTTGATGAAGGGATCTTTCTAAATGGTGATTGAAATAAAGGTGCTTAAGGATTGTTTATTGGAAGATACAGCTGATGCTGTAATGTGATATTAAATGATGTGGTGATATCGTAAAATATCTTAGCACTTATTTTGTTTGTGAGACTTCTGTAAAGAAGTTACGAAATAACTGGAGAAATAAAATTCGTTAATGTTTATAATTTGCCTGTAACTAGTTTTGTTTCTAAGCTTTATATCTGCATAGCGAATTGTTTATAGTGTCCAGAAAATGGACCAAACATCCTAGTGTATTCTGAGCTGACATTTATTGTTTGTTTTTTAGGCCAGTTTACCTACACCTAGGCACCTGTAATTAGATGAAAGATTAAACACCTTTGTTCTTCTGGCCTTTTCCCAAATAATTTGGGGTCAGTCAGTTTTAACCGGGTTTCGTTGAATGTCAGTATTTTACATGGACGCCATCTGCCAACTTGCCTACTGCCCTCCACAACCCGCTAAAGGTTACTTCATTCTTGTATGGAATTTGCACCCTTACTTGTATACATATAGAAATAGATAGTTGCTTATTTATAGACAGTAGGTTCAGTTTGGACGCTGTACGAATGATAATTGGGACTGGAACAATAAGGAACAACTTATGGCGTTAAATTTTGGGCCTTAAAATTAGTGATTTTTCGTAAACCTCTTTGAAAAGATCGACAGTTTTATCGGTGAAAAAAAATATTTAGGTACCTAACGAAAGTGAATTCTCTAAAACCAAATTGGCACGAACAAAACTGTCGATTTACGCAGGTAATTAAATTAATGATGAGTAAGTAGGATGCGATGCGCCAAACAGCTGATCGGAGAAACCTAACAAAGTGCTCTAATTTTTTGTTCTGATTGCGGAAAGGTATAAGCAGTTGTTAAAAATAATTTAATTAACAGATTATTATGGGTCTCAAGGGCTTTTTCGCGTTTCGACTATAAGTAGGTAAAATATTACTTTTATTAATTCTTGATAAGCAATTATAAATATTTCACAGAACACACTTTTCGGTAGATACAAAATGTTACGTTACGAGTCCTGTATCTAATAAGCATTATACTTATACCACTCCAAATTTCATGCTAAAAAAATTCGAAATTAAAACCCTTATAACATGCCTATCTATTACCTTGCCCAACCTAAGGTTAAAAGCTTTATTACAGAAATAATTTGCTAGTCTTGATTTCTGTAAGCATCAAGCAGATACAGAAAATAATAAATCAACTCACCTCCATCAACTTCACTCCATATCTCCGCTTCTCCTTCTTGATGCAGATCCTGGAGACACCTCGTGCAGAAGTTGTGCAGACATCCCAGCAGCCTCGGTTCCACCAGCTCCTTCTTGCATATACCACAGTCCCATTCCTTCACCTTGCTCTTTCTTCCATCGCTATACGCTGAAGTTCGTGGAGCCACGTTCAAGTTCTGGCTGGCAGGACGCCTAGGACCCTTGACGTGTAAGGGACTGTTCCCAGCACTCAAAGACAACTGCTCCAAAGACTTCCTCTTGTCCTGCTTCTTGCGGGTAAAGCTACCGAAAATATACAAAATACGGTCCACTTCCATATTCAAAAGTAACGGTTTATTTCAAAAATTAATCCGCCATTTTTTTCGTCTATATTATATTTTCTTTCGTGTCAAAACAATGGGCGTTTAACTATTGTAAACTTGATCTATATTTCGAAAGCGCACCGATCGTGAAGGGCGTTGATATAAATAAACGTGCACCCGGCAAGACGCGTGGTTTCCGACTGGCGTACGGATGGGACTTCGGGACTAGCTTAAAGCATAAACACATGTAACCAATAAAATAATGCGTTTAATCCTTAAGTGCTTTACCTGTAATATCCTGAAAGATTTAGGTACTAACATCTGATAAAGTCCTCAAAGAATTAGCATAAAAAGGGATAACACAGGTATTAATTCGGTTTTAATAGACTACGAAAGTTAAATGGTCAAAGAGGTATTCGTAGTTGGTTTTATAATATGATTGATGACGTAAGCCATTACTCTAGTTAGTGCAATTCGGACTAAGAGATTTGGCATAACGCTGTGAGACGCTTTATCATTATTTCAATCCGTAAAATTAGCATCAGGCAAATGCGCGAGTTTATGAATGAGCAAGCATTCCATAATAAAACAGTATTACAGAACTTTCTGAGTGACTGGAACTTGTTTGTATAATACTCTCAATGTTTCATGCCCATAAAATTGGCAAAAATAAACAGCTCTCTGACATAAACTAATGATGTATACCTACTAACAAAAAATACTTCGAATGTCATCTTCATTTAACAGTAGTCTATAAATAGTATTTCATTCTAAATGATACTCTTGGCTTCCTTCAATAACTGGCAGTTGCAATCACGCATGATGCATGTCCCGTCTAATTTCCTCGCTGAGGGATGAGTCTTGGTAACAAATAGTTATTTCTGTCCAACAACCCCCGCCATTTGTCATTTCCTTTGCTATTTGATTGATTTTTATGTGGTTGGTAGATTAGATAATGACATGCCGTTGTAAGTATCCACTATAGAATAATAAAGAAATATAAGTAGTACCACAAAATACTAGCAATAGGTAGGTACTCTAGAAGTCTAGAAATAAAAATTAAAAATGTGCAGTATTTTTAGGGAGCCCTCAAGTTCAAAAGCCTTTATCTTGGTTATATTACGCCAAATCGAATTACAAATAAGCGAATAACTATCAATTAATCGACCACTATAAATCGAACGCCTAAATACTCGAACGTTCATAATATCGAATGGTTAGGAAATCGAACATTCAATACATCGCACACTCAATTGAACAGGCCTCCTACATTCTCACCATTCCTTATTGGTCACAATTCAGAAGGTATGAAGAGTTTAGTTTTATAGAACTTAAATTTATTTTCTGAAATTAAAATTGTTATAAGCTATAGCAAAATTAGGTAGGTATCCTTTCTACTTCTTTATGTACCAAAATTACTAATTGATCACGTTATTTGAAATAATAATCTCGTCTCTACTATCATAACATTTCTTCTACATTAATATCGAATCCATCTTCCTATTACAGCGAAAAAACTACTCGACCCCTTTTAAATCGAGTTTGTTATCGAAATGTAATACCGCATCGTTTATAGGCGCAATCGATTTAACTTATAGCACGTGCAAACTCGAATCGAGATCCCATTATGACCGGAAAAGGAACCAATAAACTTCTTCATTTGTGTTGCTAAATACGCACTTAATGCTATTTTTGGTATAAACTTTAAAATGACGAACACTTCGTTTTAATTTTCATTGAGGATACTGGTTGCCCTCTTTCCTTTACGCTTACCTAATTAAACTACCTAAAGATAATAATTATGAATCCATATTTCTTAGAGTAAACATCAAAGATTTTTTTATTAATACGCATTGAATAGATTAGTTAAGATATATGGTATTTATTATATTTACCTCAAGAAAAAAGATCCCATGTTATTATCACACACGACACGTGTTTGAAAACATTAACGAAAAAAAACAAAACAATTAAATCGTCATAAATGACTAAAATAGTGACAACGTGACATACATTTTAAACATGAATAACAAAACGATTTAATAAAATTCTGAACATTTCATTTATTTTGCGTAATAATTGGAACGCGGCCGTACAGCGACCCACATTTGGCGGGAAAACTAATGTCAGCGCTATTTTTCGCGCGCACCCGGCTACGTGTGACGAAGCGCCTTTGGACACTGACCATTGATGAGGTGAGGATTCACTAATTCACCTTGGCTGGAGTACTATTGCCTGTCCGTATTTCCTGTGCATACAAATTGACATTTTATTGTGATGATTGTGCAAATACACTCCTTCAGAGTTTCCGTGATATTGTGTTTTCTTAGGCTATATACACAACCGGTAAATCAACACAATATTGTAGCAAAAATCCCTGGTCTGTAGTCAGTGCCTACTTACTTACTTAGGCACATACAAAACTAAATACAAGTAGACTACAGTTGGTTTGCCTACAGCATAGCTTAAAGAATGAAATATGGTGTGGAAAACCTACAAAATATGCAATAGGTATCAGTGAAGCCACAATTTTTAATGTTTCTGTGGCCTATAGGTACCTATAGATATAGGCAAGTAGATAGGTCCTACCCATTTAGTTTGTTTTGATACAGATACCTAAATACCTATTAATTAAAATACTGTAATAAATTGCGAACAGGAAAAGGTACATGATTGTTATCACTTTTTAAAATCGTTTAAGTACTTTAATTTTATTTTTTAGTCCAACGTGCGACATCATAATTGATTTTACATGATAACCCAGTGTAACTAGGCTCATTTTATGAGGTACTTGTTTATATGAAACTCACACGGATCTACGGTTGACGCCGATATCAATAAATCAACCCGATACGGTTTGAATACGATTTGAACTTTGAATAACTTTGTCAATTCATGTTTTATTATTTTTATTATGTCTAGGTGTCGGTGTAGGGTAGGAACCCTGTAGGAACTGGAAGTACTTACCTATAACTTTAGTTTGAGTTTGCAGATAACAGGATAGGACACAATGATCATGGTACCTATTTACCTTTATTGTTACTTATTCTGACGATCCACAAAAAGTAGCGATTACCTTCTATAAATAATGGGTCTTTTTTTTGAGTGAGTAAAATCATTTAATGATTTCTTTTGCCTGGTTCCAGCGAGACTCTCGCTCGCTGAGAGAGGGAGTGTCAGACTCACAGAAATATTAAAATCAACTTCTTTATTATATTTTGGTCAGACTCTTACTGTATCCCACTCCGTTCCTACTCTCCGGTCGGGGTCTTACAAAAGCGTTATGATTTCTTTCCACAAGTTCTCAATTTTTCATGTTTAACAAAATTACAGTTTCCATTATTTGTTTAATCTTCATTTTGAATTTTTATTACATGTAATAAAACGTTTTTTCTGTCAATGTCGTACGCCTCTAAACTACCAAAATAATGATGCATTTGGCGAACGAAAAAATGCGGGATAATTTTATGGCATAATCGCTTTTCAAACCGCAAAAAAAATGTTTGTAAATGTGACATACCAATGTTGACATACCACGGTACTGTTGCGTTCCGTTGTCAGCGTAAGAAATAGCATGGACGGCCATGTTGTCTCTTTTTAACCTGCTGTAAAAAGAAAGAAAAGTATCGAAGGAATGTTAAATATTGACGAAGTCATAATCTAGCGTTGGAAAGTTATTACATGGCGTTTGTCGTCTGCGGAACTATTTTTCATTTCTATGTGTCCCAAATAATGTTTATTTATAATGTACGCGAGTTAATTATGCCAGTGCTGATTTCGGCGTGAAGTTGTGCGGTCTGGGCACATTCAGATATGTTCAACATAAACAAACTATGTCTGTTTTCCTGTCTGTGCGTTATTGTTGTTATTGTCCTCTATTTTCAATCAGAAATCGCACGTTTAGAAGACAATTATAGGAAACTGGGTAAGCGGGACCATGTGTAGTGAGTTTAAAATGTGTGCTGTGGAATTTAGTTGCTGATATTTAGTTTTATTTTCAGAGTTTAGGTTGGTGCAAACTCATTCGGAATCTCGCCAGTTTTTCCCAAAACCTTTAGAAAAAAATGACGATGATACGGTAGTGATATACAATAGGGTCCCGAAGACGGGATCGACGAGTTTCGTGGGTGTAGCGTACGATTTATGTAAGAAGAACAACTTTAAGGTGTTACATATCAACATAACGGCCAATCGACATATCATGTCCCTCAATAATCAGTATAAGTTCGCGCAGAATGTTACTAAGTGGGATGAGGTAAAGCCGGCACTCTACCATGGTCATATGGCTTTTCTAAACTTTGATCGGTGAGTTACAAATACTTGTTAAGACATTATTCCCAAGATCAAACAGTTGGATACTAACAAAACTCTAATTTTACCTTTAAAACATACTTTATAAGGAAAAACCAGTTTGAATCAAAGTCATCTTCCTAATAAGCACATAACATTGAGATTGTTTACAATTATAGTATCTCTATTTACATATTATATTAGTCAGAGTCTCACACATGGAGTTAAGTCTGTGTTTTATTATTCTTATCAAGTATAATAAAACAGACAATGTATCAAGAGATCCTTGTTTTAAAAGTAAATTATTGTTATTTGTTACTTGCAAAGCTAAATGATGCCTTTGTTTTTTATATTGTTACTTATTTGAAGTTTTCCACTATCCATCGATGCAGTCTATCACCAAGCTATAAAGTTCAAATTTCGGATCATTATTATCACAGATAGTCTGGGTATTTCACCTCTACAACAACGAATAATAGATTTGTTTCTGGTTTAATTTTAAAAAAATATTTGCTGCTCCTTAGTCCTATGACTTTCTTTCCTTGAAATCTCAGTAGTACATTAGTTATGCTTATGCAGAACAAACTAAAAATATCAAAAATATATAGTTAAGTTATTGTCATTAATTCTTTGCCCTGTTCCAGGTTGGGTGCTTCCTCAAAACCTATATTTATAAACTTAATTAGGAGACCCCTAGACAGACTAGTGTCTTACTACTATTTCTTAAGGAACGGTGATAATTATAGACCACATTTGGTTCGGAAAAAACATGGTGACAAAATGGTAAGTTGATATACAATTTTGTGCTTTCTTCATAAGCACACATAACGTAACATCACACCTTTTTTATGAGGGAGGTGCACATTACAGCACTTAATGCCACTGTACAATGTAACACCCATTTTTCACTATTTATGTTATGAGTCCCATGTAATAGGGGGAGAGCCTATTGCCATATACCGGACACAATTCCAGACTCCATGCTAGTACTGACATTTTTTTAAAAAACTTAATAATACTTTGCCCAATCCGGGAATCGAACCCAAGACCCCTTGCTCTGCTGTCGGACGGGTGACCACTCGGAGAACAAGGCATTTATTACTACACATTTATTTATTTATTTATTTATTTATTTAAAACCTTACCTAAAACTATCATTACAGTTTTCTCCATTGCGATAGCTTAGGTCTAAAACTAAATCTATGTAGGTACCTAATTACTAATACATATACATACACAAACTTAATTAATCTTAACATTTATCCATAAAAAAAGAGATAATACTGACGACTTTATGGTCACGAGATCAACGGTAAACTACTTACTAAATAACAATAAAAAAAAAAAAAAAAAATGAAATGAAATAATAATCTTAATTAACATTTAAATAACATAATATATACAACGTAACTTTTACGAATTCACTCACATTGCAACACAATACATCCACCCTTTCATGGACTTCGTTCACTACTCTCATAGCTCTAGTGAGAGGAGCCCTAGCTAGTAAGTTGGTTCTGGCTGCCGGCACAGCGAGGAGAGGCGGGCGTCTCCTCTTCCACACATAACGGTCCGGCACACATAGCTGCAGGTGTCGCAGCACCCCCGGATTATGCGCTACGCCGCGCAGCAGCTTCACCACATACGCTACCAACGCAAAGTCCCTCCGCACCCTTAGCTCGTTGTACCCTACCATACCCAGAACAAATAGAGTAGGGTACATCAGGGGGTAAAATGGATAAACTCCATAAAGTTTGAAATACAAGTGCCTTGTAAATTTATTTTGAACACGTTCCAACATGACGCTGTATTTCGCCTCGTGCGGTGCCCATATAACTGCACTGTGCTCGAGGTGACTCCGCACTAATGTGTCATACAGTACCCTGAGTGTCGTGATGTTGGTGAACCCCTGAGTTTGTCTGAGTACAAAGCCCAGGTTCCTACATATTTGAATAACTGAAATAATACAAAGTATGTGTATAATTTTAACTAGTTTAACAGCATGCTAGTCATAATATGCCATTTTGAAAATGTGGTTACCGAACTTGAGATCCTAAGTCCAATCTACGATGTATGTAGGTAACATTGTCTTGGATTTTTAATTTATAAGAAGATAATAAATTGTTGTGTCAAATATTATTATGTCACAACATTGTATATTGATTATGTTAACCTTGATATTAATGAGTGAGATCATTAGCTATTATTTCTAATTAGCAATAACTGAAAAAATATCATTAACAAGTGTAGTAAATTGGAGGCCTATGTTACATGATTTGAGCTGATTAACTCGTCGAGTACCGGTTTTGCAGACACAATTATAGAACAATAGGTTGCGGTCACCGGTGACCGCTTGGTGTTTGACAGTTTAACAATCAAGTAGCCACTTAAAAGTATGTGATTTTAAGTCGTTTTTTTACATAAGACAATAAAATTTATATTTACAATAGTCCGTTGTATGTATTCTGTCATTTTAAAAATTATATTAGATACTCGTTGTCAACTTATTGCACCGACCACGCTCTCACTGCATCACCTAAAGGTTGGCTAGTAAGAATGCCCATGGCATTAAGCCCGCCCGGAACATATATATTTGCAAGTGTAACGAAGCTTTATAGGTAGTTACTACATTATCAAAATGACTTTCTAATATGATGACATATGTGCAATACTTCCTCAAAATACTGACTGCCTCATTGGATTGGTCGCAAGTGGGTCTCGGGTTCGATTCCCGAGACGGGCAAAGTATTACTGGGTTTTTAAAAAATTCTCAGTAGTAGCCCGGGGTCTGGAATTGTGCCCGGTATATGGCAATAGGCTCACCCCCATTACATGGGATTCATAACATAAATAGTGAAAAGTGGGTGTTACATTGTACAGTGGCATAATGTGCACCTCTGCCTACCTCTTCGGGGATAAAAGGCGTGATGTTATGTTCCTCAAAATACGTCAGTCAAAGTCGACCTATTTATTTGTCTAAAATTATACGAAATGACAACCTCATGCTGGAGACCCCAGATATAGTTCCTAGGATACCTGATAACGTTCTCTTATCATGTTACAGACGTTCGACGAATGCGTCGAGAGAGGGCAGCCGGATTGCGACCCTAATAACATGTGGCTACAAGTGCCATTTTTCTGTGGGCACGCCGCCGAGTGCTGGTATGTATAGAATAAAGTTTGCTCTGTATAGGCTCCTAGAATTGAGTCGGGTTATTTAGTTATGACCTTTAAGTTCTTGGTAGGTAGGTATCATATTGGATTCGTAAATTAGCGCACTGCTTATCCCTTTGCGGAAGTTTAGAAACGGAAAAACTGGTGTACCTATCTATAATTAGTATCTCTTTAACTTTTTTTTAAATTATATTATGTGTGTTTAATATAATAGTAAGTAATGTAATCAAATATATATAGATATAAATTAAATAATTAGAGATAATTTAAATAAAAACTAAATTATTTACAACTAAAATTAACATGAGGAATATAGAAAAAAATATAAAGGAAAAACTAATTTTTTGTTACTGTTTTTATGTTACATCATAATTATTTTTTATTGAATTATATTATGAGCTTGTCAGTTATAAGCAATTTGATGATAAAAATGGGTTATTTGCTTTGGCGAGTCAGATAATACAATCTAAAACCTAGAAACCATTTAAAAAATAATAACATTGCCCCACACTTTTTTTTTACGTTGCCCCATACTAAGAGGACATTATCTCCTTTTTATTGGTTCTTCAACAAGTACTAAAATACACACGCAACACAAACATATATCTACCTAATAATGTTCATTGTCGAATAGTTGAATCAACAATAGATGAAGTCCGTGTACATTGAGTTGGACAAACAACATTCCAGTCTATTAATTAATAACAGTACCGCTAATTGGACATCATAACACAGGCTTATAGTAACGTTAAACTGTTCATCATGTCGCGGAGAACCTAACGAGTTACCGGGGCTCCGGCTCGATTTGCAGGAGAAGGAACGGGGTGGTTTTTAGTCAGTAAGAGTCTGACACTCCCTCCCGCCTCACCTAGGCGGGAGCAGTCATTCGATGATTTCCCCCTTTAAAAAAAAAACTGTTCATCATATGGCTAACAACTACATAAACTTTAATTATTATTTAGTCACCTCAAAAACAACAATCATGTATTGTTAAAACAATGAAGTAGTCACACCCCCTATTACATGGGACTCATAAATAGTGAAAAGTGGGTGTTACATTGTACAGTGGCATTAAGTGCCGTAATGTACACCTCTGCATACCCCTTCGGGGATAAAAGACGTGATGTTATGTTATGTTATGTTGATGAAACAGCTAAATGTCGTTGGCAGATCGCTGTTCTGACCAGGGTATAAAAAATCTTACTCTAGCTGTTACCCGTGGTTGCGTTTGCGTGGTTGAAGGAAATTAATTATATATATGTATATCTACAATGACTCACAAGCCAATTTTCTTCAAAGTTAAGACATACAAAGTTATTATTTCATTTTTAGTTTTCTTTTATATAATTTTCTCTGTTAGTTAGTTTTAGTCTATTTTAAATTGTACATATTTATTTATTTCCTTATTTGTCTATATCATCTAAATAAGTGCCTAGAAAAAAAACATACAAAAAGTCGGTTAATATACTGTAACCTAAGTAAACACTTTTCTGCAAACCGCATCAAATTCGGTCCAGCCAATCGCTAGATAATCCCGCACAAACATACAAATATATATACACACATACAGGTCAAATTGAAAACCTCCTTTTTTATAAGTCGCTTAAAAATGACATGGGTTTTTACCGAAAAAAAACTGTTCAAGATTAGGTACAAGTTAAATAATTACTTCTCTAATCTTATCTCTTCATTAATCCCTTAGTAATATGTGTTAATTCATTCTTTGTTACTCATAGTCCGCAGTTTTTATACAAGTAGGTAGGTAATGTTTTTTTATCAATCTTCACGAATGTCTTTCTTGCTATATATGTATATATATATATATATTGTTCCAAAGGCAAGGTTAGTTTGTTGTCAAATTGATAATGGTTTGGGTCTAATAGTGAATATTGTAGTTTTTTGATAGAAGCATTCTTACTTTCGATTGTCGGGAAGATGTCCCGGTTCGGGAAAAATATAACAGGGTTTTTAAAAAAAATCGTCAGTTGTAGCACAGAGTCTGGAATTATACCCAGTATATGGTAACAGGCTCACCTCCTAATACATGGGACTCATAACATAAATAGTCAAAAGTAGGTGTTTATGTGTGTACGGTGGTGTTAAGTACCGTAATGTGCACCTACTCCTTCGGGGATAAAAAAGCGTGATGTTATGTTAATACCTACGTATTATTTTAAAAGATGGTTGTTTTGTTGGGTACAATTACTTAAAAAAAAAAACATTTACTGTTTATATTTTACAAATTCTGAGTAAATTCATAAATTGATGCATTATATTTATAAGCTTCCAAATCGCATATGATATATTACAAGAAAGTAGGTCCATTTAGTAGTAGATTGGTTGGTGGTCACCAACAAATCTACTACTCTACATTAAAAATGGAATTAATTTTGTCTCTATATTAGCTAATCGGATCCAAGAATTCTTGCTCGTCTGTCGCACATACAATCACTGAAATATAATAATGATTATTTCTACGACAACATAACATAACATAACATCACGCCTTTTAGTCCCGAAGGGGTAGGCAGAGGTGCAAATTACGGCACTTAATGCCACTATACAATGTAACACCCACTTTTTACTATTTATGTTATGAGTCCCATGTAATAGGGGGTGAGCCTATTGCCATATACCGGGCACATTTCCAGACTCCGTGCTACTATTGAGATTTTAAAAAAATCAGTAATACTTTGCACGACCCGGGAATCGAACCCGAGACCCCTTGCCCGGCAGTCGCACTTCCGACCACTCGGCCAACAAGGCAGTTCTTTTTCTACGAATAAGCACATAATTCGACAAACAAATTATAAATCTCAAATTTGATTCCAGGGAACCCGGCAACCAATGGGCGTTAGACGAAGCGAAACGCAATCTAGTCAATCACTACTTACTGGTAGGTGTTACAGAACAGATGCTCGACTTTATCACAGTGCTAGAGGCTACCTTACCTCGCTTCTTCAAAGGAGCGACAGAATACTACCTAAACAGCAACAAATCACATCTTCGACAAACCAGCTCAAAAATAGACCCTAATCTCCTAACAATAGAGAAGATACAGCAATCAGCTGTTTGGAAAATGGAAAATGAATTATACGAATTTGCCCTAGAACATTTTAACTTCGTTAAAAGAAAGTTACTAGTGAAAGAAGCGAATAATGTAGCTCAAATATACTTCTATGAGAAGATACGGCCTAAATGAGTGAGTTTTTTATATGATTTTTTATTTTGTACTCTCTTGTTGTAAGAATATGGGCTATATTACCGTTTTGAGGTATGTTTTTTTTTTTGTTTTCGTCTCGAAATGTGGGTGTTTATTTGGTGTTTAAGGCTGTTTTAAAGGTGGAAGTCATTTTAAAGGAGAATGATTGGTCTGACTGAGATTTGTCCTCAAACCCTAATAAAAAATGCACAAAATATACTTAATTTCTTATCGAATTCATGTCTTACATACGTCTTTTAACCTCTTTTCTGTCGATATATAAGACACAATAAGACACAATAAGACACAATTGTGTCTCGCGAAGATCTACGTTCCGACCTACTAGAGGTTAAGTTAATTGGCCGATTCGTATAAGAATACAACTTACGATACCTTTTAAAAATCACTTCCAACTTTAAAGTAGACCCTTATACATTCAGTATGAAGTTTTTAGTAAATAATAGTCTTACTGTTATTATACATAATATTTATGCCTCATAATATATACTTTATGTATATGTTAACTGGCGAATAATCGAGCTCATATTACGTGCACATCTGCCTAATAAATAGGCAATATACGGCAAGAGCCCGTATACTCTTGACTTTTATTATTTTATGAAAGGCGAGAGTTTCTCAACACATTCTTTCAACACTGATAAGAACGTTCATTACAAAGTTTGGACTATTGTGACTTTGGTACGTAAACACTTATTCGTGGTAACAGGTTAAGTAGATGTTAGGTATGACTTGATGAATTGTTATCGGTATCCTACACATTTAATACTGTTTACTTGTCAAAGCAACAATAATCCTAAAACTTGTCGCGGAGAACCTAACGGGTAACCGGGGCTCCGGCTCGACGTGCAGGAGAAGGAACGGGGTGGTTTTTAGTCAGTAAGAGTCTGACACTCCCTCCCGCCTCACCCAGGCGGGAGCAGTCTTCGATGATTTTCCCCCCTTAAAAAAAAACCCTAAAACTTCAATACGATCTATCTTTCTTATTTGTCCTGAAAGTACGCGTCGAGAATATTACAGTTTTTATAAAATAACAAAGGTCTGGTGTTCACGAGCTCTTAGACTATAAGATATATAAATATGTTGTTTTATCATTCCAGAGATATATTTTAAAGACAGAGTTCGTATGGACAGGGAATGTAGGACAATCTATTATTGTGTGGGTCGTGAGCGTGGCATTATACTATTTTAACCGACAAAGTACATTAATTGGTTGACCTAATTATTTACGTAGTGTAACAGTTCATTATAATTTTGTGTTATGTATGTATATTATGCTATGTACTTTTATATAGTTTTGATAATTTTTGAAAAGCACACACAAAGCACAGTTATTCTAGTAATTTAGTATGCAAGTAAGAAAATTATAGTTGATTCTATATTGTTACATTATGCTGTTGATGTAATCTATAATATTAGTATGATTTTTAAAGAATACATCTTTCCATTTACTGTCTTTATACTGAGTTAATCTTTATTTTCTTAACTGCATACCAAATTACGTGTTGTCTGTATATATATATATATATTAAACTTTGACACAAGCCCCTTTTAGCCACGCATAAAACCTACACACAACATTGTGTTCTAACATAGATAATATATAATGTATAATAAAAAAATAAAAACTTAAATCTAGGCCTTTAATATTAGATAACGAAATTTCTAGAATCTAGACAAAAAGTAGGCCTTAATACTTAATAGACAATCATAGAATTTAGTTCCTTAAGTAATCGAATTTAGGTTTAATTTTTAATAACAATGTTTGTTCCGTTGCTCATTTTAAAATTATGCACGAAAAGACATTTTTTTACATTAAGATTTGATGCATTATATTGGTAAATATATAATTATAATTTTCTGAAATTGATTTGAAAATATTTATACGAAAATAGATAAAACCCCGTAAATGATATTATTATGTAACAATTAACATAGTTTAATCATTATACATCTGGACATATTGTTGTATATATATTTTTCGTTCTATATATGTCTTAATATATAAAACTTATTAAAGAACTGTACATATTCTTTAACCGAAAATAAGTAAAAAATACTACGTTTTTTACCTATTCCATGTTATTTTTACGGGTGCTTTTAAATTTAAATGAAAATACACTACTTCATCTAATTTTTACATACCTAATCGAGTTTTTACTTAACAAACGAACGCGGAATATCTCTTAAACTTAAATGAATAAGCCTCATACAAACGCGTATACACCATTATATTTTTCTTTTTATTCTATAGACGGTGCTAGTAGCGCAATTTATCCTCAATATTTTTTACTTAGTAACTACCTATAACATTAATTGGTTTCCATTTGATATACATTCATAAGTTTCGAAAAAGCAGAGTGCTCAGCACGAATAACTATCGCATTTACGAATTTACGAATAATAATCGATACTGTTACGTTACGACGTAACAGTATCGAGCGCGTTCGGCGCTCCTGATTGGCTGGATCCAATGAACCAACCAATCAGAGAGCTTAGTAAGAGAGAAAGAAAAACTATATCACACTCTAAATGACACATACAGATTTTACACATTACAAATATCTACTAATGTCCCAACTTCCCAAGTCTGCGGTGCAATGGGACCAGAGTGCCAAGCACGAATAACTATCGCATTCGTATCGTAACAGTATCGAGTTCTGATTGGTTGGTTCACTTGAGCACGCCAATCAGAGCGCCGAACGCGCACTCAGTTCAACATGTACAAGTTTGTTCTAAGTTTAAAGTACGTAATCGAAACGAGACCACGTTCGTCGCTGTGATTGGTTGGTTCATTGGAACCAGCCAATCAAAACGCCGTACGCGGTCAACAATCTCGTACTAGGGCCTCAGAGCACCGAACTCGCTCGATACCTTACGAATGCAATAGTTATTCGTCCTTGGCAAGATAAATAAATGGTAAAAAAAAGAGTAACGAATGGAGTTTCTTGCTCGTTCTTCTCCATTCGAATCTACATTTTGGAATGAGCACCTAGCTTCACCTAATTTCACTGACCGACTGACTGACAGACTATTATTTATTTTGTATTTGTTGACGTTTCAAAAGTACCAAACTATGGTTTAATTGAAATAAATGCTTTGACTTTGACTTTGGGAATCGATCTACTTCGTATGGAGTGTATCTGCGGTACCCAGAGACTTATCATGATTTCTTAAACTATTTCTTAGTAATGATTTTGTTTCGAAACAATTGTTAAGGACCGGGTTCAGCATCTATTAAATCACTGCGGTATGTGTTCGAATACCGCTCGAGTCACTTGATTTTTTTTTCAAAGTTTAGCGTCTCAATAATATTTAAAAAATCATTGTGATATTTTGAAATCCTTCCAACGACTTGTTGTCTCAATTTAATGTTATTCATTGTTTTCACGATTGTTTTATTTGTTACTTATTGTTCTACGTGGTCGTAGCTTTTGTCTGATAGATGTCCTCACTGATCTTTAGACCAAAATTATTATGTATGAATATTTAAGTCGTTATAATTTGCTTTTTGAGAAACCACAAACTCAAAAATTATAAACCTCGTCAACCATGAAAGTCATATTACATTCTAAATAAGGTTTTATAAAGTAAAAAATTAAAGAATGGGTTTCTTTCATTCAGTTTCTATAAAAATAATAATATTATAAATGTACTTAAAGTTTTAAGTACAAAATATTATACTTAAAAATGACTCAACAATATATTATTATTTCTTTATTTTGGCTATGTTTGTAACTATTAATATAAGTTGACGAATTGATAATAATACTTATAATTTCTTATATCTTATAAACAATATTTAAATATTGTTATAATTTTAATAATTATTATTGAAACACGACAAGTTTCAAGCCACCTCGGGGCTCTTGATAATCGTAAATCGAAACTATACGAGCGAGAGAGCCGTATAAATATTACTGAAATAATGAAATTAATAATTAATTCTGTAACATTGATAAAAGACAGTTAATTTAATATATGAATGTCATTAAAATTGGTTGTACTATGATTTATACTAATATAGTATTTTATTCTATCTGTGTTAAGTTATAATTTTCCTTGCACAGCTCAAGAGCCAGTCTATATAAAATAATAAAATACATTTCGTTAAAGTTTTTTTATAAATAATACAATAACATTTTATATTTTTCTAACATTTTTTTAGTTATATAATTCTATTTTGTATATTATTTTTTTATTTTGTCGTTTGTTAATGATATTGCTTATTGTTTTAGAAGTAAAGACTTAGTTATATTAGACAATATTTTAGGGAATTTGTATACTCATACAATAGTTCGTAATTATTATTTATATGGCCTATTTCATCTGAACATTTAAGTATTTTATCATTCCGACGTCATTTCGTTCAAACGCTGAATTAATCTCCACGCAACCACGAATAAATCAAAAACATTATATTGCGTTGGTACTGTCCTATCAAAAGTAGTCTTAGCACGCTTTTATTACTAAACTATTAATTATTTAACTGTTCGCAATTTACTTGTAAAGGCAGCTGTCTCAAATTAAGTACTTACCAAGTAGTCAAATTCAATTCTTTTTTCGCACTGTCAAAATCGACAGTTTTCTATGAATTTTGTACGAAATTGTGTATTGTGACGGTTTTTAGCGTCAAACAGCATACGTATATCTTAACAATTTGCTGGAAAAGTACTAAAATTAAGTCGGTCAAAAAATCGGTCAAATAATGAAAGTGTGATTATTTTTTTATATTTTGTTGTATTGAACAGTCGAAATAATTTATTTTGACTAAGAAAAGTACCCAATTAGGTGAAATTGGCTGTAATGATAACATTTTATTGAAACGCAACATTTGTATCTCTTTACAATAAAAATGATCCAAGCTGTATTTCGGCCTGCGGAGCTAAAATGGCGATTAAAGATGGATTCGTCAACGATCGCTAGGGTCGCCAAACTTTACATTTTCTAATGAATAAAATACACTATCGTCGATAATCAATGCAAGACTACAGCAAAATATCATTTATAAATATGAGGCTGGTGTATTTTTATTCACCAAATCAAATGGCGCTAGTGTAACCCTCTTATTTTTCGTCCAATAGGGAATTAGCTACCATTAATATCACACCATTGGACGCTCAATATTTGACAGCTGCAGTGATTGGACAAAATAGTCTATTGCTACATTGGCGCCATCTGTTGACCAAAAATACGATATTAGGAATTACTCTATTAGAAAACGTAAGTTTCGATAATAATATCTTTCTAAGGAAATTAATCCCGAAGCATTTCGTTTCATTCGGTTCAATAGTATGTCTGTTCTATAGCCATTTTCACATTCTTCATAACGTGTTAAATTGTCGGCTTACTCACTTAACTGTTTAGAGGCTCATATTTATGAGCATCATTCCGCGACCCGACTGCTGCCTGCTCGACTCTGCGGCGTTGCGGAATGTTGCTCATGAATATGAGCATGGGTTGAAACTAGTCGAGCTCCTCATCAAACGGTTACGTGAGTAAGTCGAAAACATAACAATTAATTTAGTATGTCTCACGAAAGTTTTAATATAAAGATACAGAACTTGTATCCATCAGATATTAATTTATCAACAAATTTTCGACTCCATGTGAAATTGGCCGTCAACTTGTACATAAGTAGTCAATATGCATTTATTTAGACTAAGTAAACTCGTTCTTCCAATTATGTTAGCTAGCTAATCTATCAATGTATATAATGTTTTATATATAAATGGTTTAAAAGGGTATATTACTGACAGGCAATATAACAGCCCCAAAATGTATGAAAAAGCGGATAATTTCTTGGCTACGAATAACAATTGTAACTTAATATTGTGAAAATAAAGTTGAAATTTCAACGCATCCTGTATGTTGCAAAAAAATTTTTTTTAATGGTCGTTGTTATTGGAATTTCAACTGTAATGTAATGAAATAAAGTACGATGTTCGACACCAAGATATTCGCTGTGTACTCTTTATATGTGAGTCTTGAGGACTCTGTAAAAGATTATAAAAAATATGAATTTCTTAAGTACTGCAAAAAACCTTGTTCATAATACTTAAGGCTGCTTATTCAATGCTCAGTTAAATTTTATCAGAGGCATAACTTTGAATATTTGACAATTCTTCCATACTAATAACTATCAAATGTCAATTTTATTCTACAATTAAGAATTAATTGGTGATTGAAAAATCGGCCCTAAATAAAATAAATCTGTTTGTTTTTCGATATAATGTTATGTGTAAAAATTGCCAGAAAATATTCTACTTCATACTTTACAATATAATATATGTATTTAGTACCTAAGTAAAGTTTTATAAAGATCAAAGATTCCATGTAAAAATAAGCTTCACTCTATGCGACTTTACACTGTAAATATAAGTAAATAGAATTCAAATTCCTACAAAATAACAAGTCTCTATCGTACAAACTTGTACTTAAAACACACAATTTTAGACCTTAACCACTTAAGTTTAAGATTGATATTTATGTAATTTATAAAGAGATGTGATTATAGAATCTGTTACTTTTTAATTTCAATGTTCCGAATCTCTGCACTCACTAGTTTACTGTGCAAAGGTGTTTCAAATGAAATATAAACCTTAATGTTTCATACAATATGTTTTATTTTTGTTTGGCTAAATTCCTACGTACTTATTCCTAACTCAAATCACTTTTTGAACAACTAATTGTGGTACTTCAAAGTACTGGTTCATCTCTATATGTCCCAATATTCGACTGCTTAAGCCTCGAAGGCACTAAATTCGCCTTTTAACAAATTGTGTGCATAAAATATAACTTCTTTATGAAATAAAATATTCATCCTCATAAAGTATCATTGTACGGTTACAGTTCAAAGAAAAATGAAGCGAAATAAATACACTAACTAACAAGGCTACTTACCGCTGTACAAACAAAGTCCAAGGAAAGTTCTCCCTTCACCCGAACCGCTCGCGAGCCGACGATGAATCATAATAAATAAAAAATTAATAAGGTAATTACACACTACGGCACAAACTTGTACCCTATCGAATATTTACCAATCGTACACAGTAATTGGGAACATACTTTTCACAGAATTGAAAAGTTTTGAACGTGACAATTATGGTAAATGTAACGTTCATGAATAAATTACATCGCCTTGGGCCTGTCGATCTGAAATATTATCATGACCCTAATCGAACGTTTCTTAGTCAGCAAACATCGTCATCAGTCAACTGCAAGAGTTGCTCTTGCATTTTATACTATAATTACTTTGTTTCATTGAGGGGGACGCAGTTTTAATAATTCAGACGATGACCTGTCCCCGTCTCACGCGACTTCTACCACGCGACAGAGCGAGACAGCTAACGGTTTCTCCGTTTAGCCGGCGACGGAAGGTGTTCCTTTCAGTCGTGTGTGAGAACTGCGACGGAGCGGTTGGCCCGCGATGCCATTAAGATTCAAACCGCTCGCAGAAATGCTATCACGAAGACACAACTTCCGAATAACTCAAACAAAGTCGATCAGTTAAAAGTTTTGTAAGATGAGATAATTTTCAATTTAAAGAGTTTTATGTTTAGTTTCGTTTTGAGGTTCGTCCACGAAGGTCGCGTCCTTCAATCGATAAACTATTAATTGCCGCGTGTGATTGCCCGTGGCCGATAGACAACGGAACCACACGCGTGTTTTGGATGTATATTTTATTTGTAAAGTGCCAATTAAAAACATTAGTTAAGTATATTTTTTTATTACGGACCCTGTGTCGTAAAGTTTGTTGGTGGAAAGACTTTGAATTAAATTCGCATCTTCATGGAATATGGGCATCTGTTTAGACACTGGTGAGTAACTTTATTTTTAAACATAGGTGTATTAATTAGTCATGACCATCCATCTACCTAGTAGGTGTATGTATGTGAGTCCCATGTTGGGCGCCACAATTAAACTGCCTTCAAATTATACCTTCAAACGTCGAATTAATGAAAATGCAAAATAAACACTTTGTCATACTGTTTTTAATCATCATTACCTACGCATACGGATGTGGTACTAGTTTTAATACGCAGTAATAGTTGTTTATCATCATCGACATGAGTCCCATTTGGGCGCCAACGTAATATGTTTAAAGTGTTTAAACGTGGTTAGTATTTCGTGTTGTAAATTGATATTAATGTTGTGATGTTTAAATGTAGCTTTTATTGGACCTTCAAATTCTTCTGGCAATTTGAAAGAAACCGTTAAACTATGATAAACAGAAGTTACATACAGGTAGTTTTGGATTAATCAGTTGCTGTGCTCGTAACAAATTCTATTGAGGGGCCCTCGGTTTGAATGGGCTGTCCCTGGAAGTATCCTGTAACCGGGTCGGTTTGATTGGATCCTTACTTTTCGGACACCTCACTGTGACTCCTCTGAAAAGGTCCTCAGTTTAGTTACACGGTACTCTTTTTGCGCGTTAGCTTTAATAATATGTACTAGTCTTGGACTTGATACATGATTAGCCAATTTTTTAGTTTGAGATAAAACGTATCACAATTACTTATTTATTAATTTGACAATTATAATTCTCTTAACGACCAAATGTTTTAGCTATACGCTTTTATAAAAAGAGTACCTTTTAGTTAATTAAACCGTCTAAATTAATAGAATTTTGATTTATAGCATGCACAAAACTGTACAGAAAGTAATGTCAAAGATAAATAGGTAAAGTCTTTTAAATAGGATCACTACGCCGCGCTGCGTTAAACTTATTATTACTGAAGTAGTATACCCAAAGACAAAACCAACTCTTCAAGTATCTAACTGTAAAATGATGTTCAGAACAAAAAAATGAAGAGTTGGAGACGACGGGTGGGGATCGTAGCCGAGGAGAGAGCGCGTGGGCTGGGCGCGCCACGCCGCCGGCAGGAGGCTTCCCCATGCAGAACTCTAGCCATGTCAAGTTCGAGCCGCCTAATGTGCCTGTTATATTCGTATTGGGTAAGTGAAAAATGGTTACCTAACGTAATAACCGACAAAAAATATTTTGGCTATGTTCTGGAGTCATATTTGGCCACCAATCTCAATTAAGATTCGCTAACTAGTTACCTACATAACATAAACTATGTGGGTGCACAATCTGTATCCCCGCTCTTATGCTCCACTGAGATGACAATCCGATATGTCTGGTGAGAGGTTAGCTGCACCGCCTACTGTTTTGCGTGCTTTTTGGGGCTCTGGTAAAACTACTGAATTTTCAGAAACCGGGTCATTTTGAAGGTCATATGTTGGTAAAATTAAGTAGGTAGTTGCAGTGCAAAGATAGCAGTCGCAACATAATCAAGCAAATCAACGCCAATTCTAGTTAGGAAAATTCCAGGAGGAAGAAAAACGAGTCTTACCTACTATCAATCTTGGACAGGTGGTCCAGGCAGCGGGAAGGTGACCCATTGTGACAATCTGATGCAGGAGCGCCGCGGCGTGGTTCACATCAACATGACGGACCTGCTGCAACAGTACGCCATCGGCAACGGTACTACTCTACCCGGTTTGCACTTTAAGTAGTATAGATTTAGATTACACTGTAGTTAGTTGAGTAGACTTAGAAAATCTATATTTATGTGACATACCTACGAAACAGGCATTTTATTCTCGAGGAGAATGGCGGGTGTACTGTTTACCTACTTGATACATTTAATCCGTGCTCAAACATATTTTACGCGCCGTACAGTGATAGAATCCGAAAGCTATAAGATGGTAGTCCCCACGCGTAAAATACTTACGCCCAGTCAAATACACATATATACATAACATAACGCCATATATATCACCATATATATACATAATATACATGGGACTCATAATATAAATAGTGAAAAGTGGGTGTTACATTGTACAGTGTCATAATATGCACCTCTGCCTACCCCTTTGGGCATAAAATGCGTGATGTTATATGTAATACAAATTAACAAGTTGATTAACATTTATATAGAAGTATTTAGGAAACAAAGTTAAGTTAAAAATATGTCGTGACACAAAGCATTATAATTAAAGTATAGTGCAGTTCATTGTTTATTACTGCGAGATAATGCAAGCGACACCAGGGGGTACTGTTGTTGGATTCCCATGTAATTGAGACGATCAACAATGTCACCTTTTAATCCCCTATAAACATGCATTTTTACGTTTGGAACAGATTAAAAAAACTCAATAGTATCTAGTCTAGATGAACTCCAAAACTCATAATATCCCACATGAGACTTGTAGCTTTGTTAACAATATAACGTTGTTAAAAAACGTAATAGTACTATGCTAATTAGTTGCACGTTCGCTATAATATTTGCACTAATTAAATATGTAACCATGATGTGGAATTGTATAATAATTTTAAATTGAAATAAAGGTCGAAATTACTATTTTGCATGAAAGTTTAGAAAAAAACAATACCTTTGTATTATGTCCGCGTTGTATACAAGGTGTTGTTTTAAAGCCGGGTCATTTTCTAGGAGGGAACTCGGCTATCGATTTTGAGTCCGAATCAATAAAAAAATGTAGGTAAGTATTTTTCATTTTTCTGTAAATTATGGAAATGCGTAAATGCGAACTACACGTCACCGTCTTGTAACTAGCTTTATAATGCGGCTTAACACACACAAACTCAAACACGTAATTAATATTATTCCTAATTCCGTAAAACTTCAATAAGAAACATTGCTGTCGCTTATTCTAAAATACTGTCGAACTTATACGATTTATTATAGCCGTATTTTTAACTATTGGTCCGAAATTTTCTCTTACATTGAACCTTTATGACTTCTGTGACATGCCCCCGAGAAATATTAACTATTTTTTCAATTATTATTACCTTGCTTCATAAACTCACTCACTCACAAAACAAAGGCTACGAGATTTCGTAGTCGCTACGCTACGTTTGCTACGATTGCTACAACGCGTAGTGTAGGTCTACGATGACTCGTAGCTTACTTTCTTACATATATGGTTACGACAGCAATGTTGGTGTTTGTCTATTACATAAATACTAATTAAAAACAATTTTCTGATATATCTGTGGACAAAAGAAAGAAAAAGAATAAATTCTTTCCTATAATCTTACAGTCAGATTAAGTTTACTCTCAAGCTCCCAAGTCAAGCAAAACACTAAGAATACTAAAGTCCAATACAGATTAAACTTAGCTAGACAGATAGAAAAATGTAATTTTCTACATATTACTTGCTATGAAAATAATAACTAATAATACAATAAGGTAACACTTTTAATAGCTCTCATTATATTCTCTTACGACTATTTTCATAACATAACATCACGCCTTTATAACCCCGAAGGGGTGTGCAGAGGTGCACTTTATGGCATTTAATGCCACTGTAACACCCACTTTTCAATATTTCTGTTATGAGTTCCATGTAATAGGGGGTGAGCCTATTGCCATATACCGGGCACATTTCCAAACCCCGCGCTACTGCTGAGGTATTTTTTTCAATTTTCGATCAAACAAGTTTCAATGTCATTATAGATGTCATTGAAAATAGTCTCTATTTGACATTTATAACAAAACTTATTGGTTGGCTTAAAGTATCTCAAATAGTTTGTTCGATTTAAAAAAATATTTTACCTATACAAAAACATATTTTTAACCGACTCATTTTTTATGGGCGGCGCTGATCGCTTACCATCGGGTGATACGACTGCTCGTTTGCCTCCTATTCCATAAAAAAAGACTTCAAAAAAGGAGGTTCGCAGTTTGAGCTACATATATGTATGTTAATGCGCAATTATCTCGTGATTGGCTGAACTGATTTTGATGTGGTTTTCACAAAAGTGTTTATTACACTTACGAAAAGGTTTTAGTACATTAAATTTCAAATCATTTATTGCGAATATAAGTCAAATGTAGATGTTACAGTAGTTATTATAAAATAATTTGATGAACTGCAATATACCATGTACCAATGTGACTTTTTCCGAGTTATATGTACTTTCTAAGATTATGTACACACTACTGACAAACGGTGAAGGAAAATATTGTGACCTACGATATCGAAACCTGGGCTTATAATTTCTAATTATAAGTTTGTATTCGCCAATCCGCATTGAGCAAGCGTGGTGATTAATGCTCAAACCTTTCCCGTGTGAGAAGAGGTTTTGCTCAACAGTGGGCATTTATAGGCTGTTGATGATGATTATTATTTATTACATTATTAAAATTAACCGACTTTAAAAAAAAAGAAGGTTATGAAGTCGGTTTTTTTTAAATCTAGTTTATGAAAAAGTTATTATATGTAAGACATGTAAAGCTCTAGTCAGTTCAGTCTTATGGTCATGTGGAGATTTTTAAAAATGAATGCCTTCAATAATCCGTAAGGCATTAAAAAACTAATATCTACACTATGAATATCTCGGAGTCGTGGAGACAAACGACTACACGGGTTACACGGGCTCCGGCTCGACGTGCAGGTGGTGGTTTTTTAGTCAGTAAAAGTCTGACACTCCCTCCCGCCTCAACAGTCATTCGATGATTTTCCCCCTTTAAAAAAACACTATGAATATCTGTACCTGCTATTTTCCATTCATATATGTAGATATAAAGGAAATATATGTATATGTTCCTACTTAAGTTACTTATTTCCTTTTTAATTACATATTTGTGTCATTCTACTATTTTATTTATAAACACTATATTCAAAACCTTTAATTTTTGGACAGACGGCTAACATATTTGTTGTCACACGCGCATATTTTATCAATGACGGTAATTGAACCCGGAACCCTCCAGTCACACGATAATTTGTCGACTCATCTGTTTGCGGTCAAAGAACTCGAAAGGAAACGGTACTGAACAAAAACCATTCTTATAACCTTATAATAGGGTAGAAAGTTGAGTGAATGGGTTGGTTTGGGTTTATTTCGAAAAGTTTATCATATTGATGTGTGTAATATCAATCAATATACATATACAATACTCTTCTGTTGTGGGTGATTATGTCATTCACAAACAAACTGCTGTTTTTTTGACGTTGCCCCACACTAGGAGTTTCTCCTGTGCCATGGATGCGTTTACAAACATAGGTACAAGTTCACATAGGTATGTACAAGTTCACCGCACCAACCGTGCAGTCATGTCAGCTATACAACGTTGGGGGAGTGTAGGGGTGGGGGGGTATGGTAGGATTTTTCAAAGTTCCTATAGGACTACCTCCTTAGTGAGTCGTAAATCTACTGATGAAGGACTTCTGGAGAACCCTAAATTGCAGAGTTGGCAAAGTATTATTCAATTGTTTAACCGACTCCAAACCAAAAAGAAAATGAGGAGTTTCTCTGTTTGACCTACGTATGTGTGCGCGATTATCTAGCAATTAGCTGAACCGATTTGATGTAATTGATTTCAGAAAAGTATACTTAGGACAAGGTTTTAGTATATTAATTTATCGATTTCAAAAGAAGAGGGGCTTAAACTGTCAAACACCAAGCGGTCACCGGTGACTGCAACCTATTGTTCTATAATTGTGTCTATAATGACGGTACTCGACGAGTTAAAGTCGGTTTTTTTCAACGTAGGTTATCAGCTACCTGCCAGTCAAAGTCCCGTCAAAATTGATCTAACCATTCTATAGACTAGCCAGTACAAACAGATAAAAATGGTAAAAATTGTATTTTGGTGTGTGTATCGTAGTCGTATGCCTGTAGTAAAAAGCGGTTATTTTAGAGGTAATATTATAGACAGACATTCCAATTTTACTTATCTGTATAGAATAGATTTAATCAGACTTAAAATACAAAAATCTTAAGGTGAACTTATTTTACACACGTCTGAAGTCATAGGTAAAAGCTAATCACTACATAGTATAAAACAAAGTCGCTAATCGCTATCCGCCGTCTGTCTGCCCCTATGTATGCTTAGATCTTTAAAACTACGCAACGGATTTTGATGCAGTTTTTTTAAGAATCACTAGATCTATTAAAGATAAGACTGAATCTTATGATTTAGAATGAAAAAAACTAATGTGTTGCTTTTTAAAATTAAGAAACGACATTTAATGTTTTATTCTTCCATAAATTCTATAACACAAATACATTATTGACGTTTAACTAACTAAAAACTATTTGACAATAGTAATTAATTCAAAAATTAAGAAAACCTCTTTCTTTACATGTATATAATCCATGCATATTGCACCCGTGCGAAGCCGGGACGGGTCGCTAGTTCATTATATTGTTTTAATAGTAGTACATACATTCATGGTCTATATGTATGATAGTAAATATTAACGTATTCGTCAAATGTTTGTGTTCTACGAAATGTAATTGTAAATATTAGATACGGGTGGTATTCGTATTTTGTTTGTAAAACGATGAATCAGTCCTAGTAGCTTGGTCCACGACTATTGCGCGTGCTGTACTGTATTGTAAGTTTCATTGATTAATTACTAAGCAGCTGTGCCCCACACTAGGATTTTCTCCTGTGTCGTGGGTGCGTTTACAAACATATCTACAAGTTCACATACACATGACACCCAGACCCGGAACAACAATTTGTGGGATCAAACCCGGTACTCGTTGCGTGGCAGCCGATGAATCGTGCAGTCAATTCACATCATGATGATTTTCTAACAATGTTTTCAAAGTAATGAGTAATCAATCCTATTATCACACACTGCACACTTAGTGTGTACTGTGTATGTGAATTTGTGTCTGCCAACACACATCATGAGTCATAACATACATGAGAATACATTAAACATTATTTAAAGGTTGTGGCTTAATCTTTTGTAAGCGTTACAATGATAGGCTTCGTTTTTAAGCAGATGCTTTTGAGCGAGGCTGTGTTTACAATAGGCAAGGTCAGGGTATTAAACTGTCAAACACCAAGCGGTCACCGGTGACCGCAACCTATTGTTCTATAATTGTGTCTACAAAACCGGTACTCGACGAGTTAATATACCTAAATGTAAATTCTAAAATTCGTTTAGAAAAAGAAAAGTTTTAAGTGTGGGAGAGTCATGATTTGGCACGAATGGGCCGGCTCGACCGGAGTGATACCAACGGCCTCACAGAAAACTGACGTGAAATAACGCTTGCATTGTGTTTCGTCGTGTGAGTGAGGTTACAAATTCGCAACAATCCTCAAAATCCTCAAATTCTTAATCCCCAAATAGCCAGTAACGTACTTGTGACGCCTCTAGTGTTCTAGGTGTCCATGGGCGATGCCGATTGCTTAGCATCCACTGATCTGACTGCTCGTTTCCCGGCTCCCTTTAAAAAAAGATAGTTCTTGAAGCAAGTTATCTCCTTTTAACTTTTTTTAATGCTACCATTAAAAAAGTAGGTAGGTAGGTAAGTTAAATTTATTTTTGTTAACTGTAGAGATTATATCAAAACCTACTTAGCCATGGTTGGTTTTCTTAGATGAAATATCATTGGTCACCAAGTTTACAAAATAATAAATTCTATAAGCAAATATTGACAACGTCACAGCCTATAAATGCCCACTGCTGACCAAAGGCCTCTTTTCATACGGAGAAGGTTTGAGCATTAATCACCACGCTTGCTCAATACGGGTTGGCAATTACAAACTTATAATTATAAATTACGAGCCCAAGGTTTCCACGCGATGGTTTCCTTCACCGTTTTTCAGTGATGTCTAAATAATCTTAGAAAGTATATAAATACAACTCGGAAAAAGTCACATTGGTACTTGCGTAGTGGTGGCCCGGAGGTTTAGGACGCCCGCTTCTCAAGCATGAAGGTGTGGGATCCTAACCTACCAACAGCAATTACCAATATTCACAAACTAGAACAGTAAATGCCAATTGGCAGAGACAGCGTACTAAAGCTGTTCTAGATAAGTCGTGTGGTGCGGGCAAATTAGGATTCATTTAATACCACCTCATCTTCTCTTCCTTTGGGTGTTGTAACCGACTGATGCCCACCACACACAACAGCAATTACCAATATTTACAAACTAGAACAGTACGCTGTTTTTTCCAATTGGCAGAGACAGCGTGTTGGGGTATCTAATTACCACCATATCCTATACTACCTAATTGACAACGAGATTTTAAAGTACCTAACTTTAAAATCAGCAAAAGCATCCAACAATTTACCTATAAACAAACAAACTGACATGCCTGATTAACTTCAAAACGTGACACACAAATAGAGTGTCCATTCGACGCGGCCGACCAATTCGCCATGCAACGTTTGTTATGAAAATCACAATGCAGTGACAACTCAATAGAACGTATTCAACAGATTCGGAATTCAGTCGAATTGCTAGTTTTCGAATAAACAACGATTATTTTTCTAGCACATAACATAATATCACGCTTTTACCCTCGCTGAGGAAGGCAGAGGTACACATTGCGACTCTTAACAGTCACTTTTGATCGGGGTAATAGGGGCCTATTGCCATATACCGGGTCCAATTCCAGAGTCCGTGCTACAATGAGAATTAAATATAAAAACAGTAAAACTTTGCCCCAACCCGGGAATCGAACCCGAGACCTCTTGCCCAGCAGTCGAATATGCGACCACTCTGCCAACGAGGCAGTGTAGTATTTTCGCTACCAATTCTTGCTATTATGTCATTATCCTTGTCAGTCCACTGCAAAACTTTGAGCCTTTTCTGAATTTTGGCCAAAAACTCTATATTGGCAGGCGTTGGACTCTTTTACTCTTTTTCGCTCCTGTCTCGGAATCGAAGCGAAATAGTACTAAATACTCACTTCTTGACTTAAACACTAGCGCATTGTGAGCTGGGTATCAGTCGGTTACAACACCCAAAGAAAGAGAAGATGAGGTGGTATTAAATGAATCCTAATTTGCCCGCGACACAAAACTTTCATAGAATTGTCTTGCGAAAATCGTATTGTTTTGCTTAAAACTTAAAAACGTTCACATAATACATATGTAGGTATATACATATGTGTATAACTTCACGCCTGTCTCCCACGGTGATAGACAGAGGCTATAGAACGCCAATTGCTTCGATCCTTACATACCTCTTTCGCTTCATCAACAGTCATCATGCTCGTCGGTTCGGCTCGGGTACTTTTAATTTGGCCCTTCTTAATCTTTTAATCTGTACATCCTAAGATTACTGCCTCGTTGGCCAAGTGGTCGCGACTGCTGGGCAAGGGGTCTCGGGTTCGATTCCCGGGTCGGACAAAGTATAACTGGGTTTTTAAAAAAATTTCAGTAGTAGCACAAAGTCTGGAATTGTGCCCGATATATGGCCCATGTCCCATGTAATAGGCACACCTCCTATTACATGGGACTCATAACATAAATAGTGAAAAGTGGGTGTTACATTGTACAGTGGCATAATATGCCTACCCCTTTGGAGATAAAAGGTGTGATGTTGTGCTAAAAATGTTAAATATTATCCTAAGATTAAAACAAAGTCTACAAGCACTATTTTTAAGGAACACATTATCGTAACAAAATATCTTGTCCTTAGACATGCAAGATTTCGGCACGCTATCGAGTACGACAGTGACCGAAGTGCTGATGCTGGAGATGAAGATGGCTCCCACGGCGAAGACATACCTCGTGTCTGGATACCCGCGCTCTATGAGAGATGTCGCTGAGTATTCCGATAAGGTAAGATTATCATACTTACTATACCGTCGTTTATTCGTCTTAAGCTAAAGTTTTGGACGCCCCAAAAAACGTCGACAAGATACTTATGAGTCCTGTGGTGCCGCGAGTGCTGCAGATATACTTTATCCTATCCTTGTTCTTTTTTCCTTATTATATGCCAAGCACTAGGTACTCCTAAGTCGGTACTACTACAGGAAACCAGAAAAACTTAAAGTCCTTTGCCCGGAGAGACCTAGGTTAGCACAAGCCCTCCTCGCAATCCCCTAAGATATTTGTCACTATAAACCGTATTGAATCAATTGTCAATTAATCACAGCACAAAATACCGATGTGAACTACCATCTTGATAAGAGTTATTTAACAATATTGTCGATCGATATAGCGAAGACAGTTAGGATAAAAATCGGTATATTTATGTCAAGGACAGGCCCAGCTGTGGCCAAAGTAACAATTTATAAAATCGACAGCTACCATACATACGTAGGTAGGTAGGTATGTATGTACGTTTGGTGTCGGTAATTATTCCATCGAAACTTTTGATCGGTTTTAGTTTTATATTCTGTTTGAGTGTTAGAACATATAAAATAGGATTTTATTTCTTATGTTAGATCAGCTATAGTCATTTGTTTCGAAAGAGTATCGGTATCGCTCCCCAGGATAATCTATGGAAACTTACCCATTGTCAAAATTCACCGATTCGTGGTGGATGTCCTACCCACGCGCACAAAGCGCATTAAGCTTCCTTGTGCATACTGCTAAGGAGTGGAATTCTTTGCCAGTGTCGGTGTTTCCTGTAAGGTATAACCGGGTGTCTTCAAGGCCCGAGTGAATAGGTTGTTTATGGGTAGACATGCTCCACCGTAGGCCGCATCATCGCTTACCACCAGGCGAGATATAAAAAAAGTCAGGAACTAAACCTAAAAAAAAAACACCGTAGTAGCACGTACATTGGACTTCGAAAGAAAAACAAATGATCAGCAACACTATGCCCGATCCAGACATCAGCCCTGCCCCTAGTAGCTCGTTCTAGCGAAATGAGTCAATAAGACAATATTGCTCTTCCCCTGGGGCATTAGATTAATTAGTACTGATGAAACTGCTCTCCAAGGCATCACTTGCATCCAAGTTACTATTGTATTGTAGTAAGAGGTATTAAAGGTCGAGACACAATATGGCTGACGATGCAAAGGTCAAAGTCCCGTACAATACAACACATATTGCAATATTAAGAATGAAATTTTTGTACACGGGTTCGACGAAAATAATGGTATCATGGCGTAACCAAACGGTGAATTGCCATAGCTGTGTGGTGACCTGTGCTGTTTTTATGGGATAAGCCGTTAACGGGCAGACGGATCACCTGACGGTAAGCAATCGGCGCCTCCCATGGACAACTGAAAAACCAGAGGCGTTACAAGTGCGCAAGCGTAATTTCACGTCGGTTTTCTGTGAGGCCGTGGTATCTCCGCAGCATGTCTCTCCCACACTTATGCTGTTGGTGATGATTGTCTATTGCCACAGTTGATCACAGAGTGTTGCTCTTCTGGTCTGATTAGGCAAGGTAGGTAATACAGAGCATTTATATTTATAAAATATGTCGAAATTGTAGATTTGATGACGCGTCCCGCTTTGTGATAAAATAAAGAAATAGTTAAAAACTAATGTGATCGAACTTAAGCTTCTTAATTGATTCAAGACTTAGGCCATAATATTGACAAATATTTTGCAATCTATATTCTATGTTGTGAATGCATGTTTTAATGAAATTGATATGATGACTCATCAGTTACATGTATTTCCATGAAGTAGATATACGTTTCACAATTGATCACGTCATTTTTAACATAACGTGACGTCACGTCAGCTGCTCTCACTATTTATGCAGAAGTCACTATTTTATGAATTCCGCAGAAGTATTGACAATTTTTAATGAACTTTGGACAGATTATATTTTTCACAAAACATATAATATGTTCTGTGGTATTTTTACTCCTAAAAGGAAAACCTAGGTTTCTTCTGGGCCAAAGTAAAAAGTTTGGTTATAGGTAAGCGTGCTCCATCATGGGCTGCATCACAGCTTACATCAGGCAAAATAGTGGTCCAACCCATTTATTTTCTTAAATAAACAAACAACTTGATTGCACGGTTGGCGCGTGTTCGATTCCCGCACGGAACAAGTCGGTCTGTGAAATTGTATGTTTATCAACGCACCCACGACAAAGGAGAAAATTCTAGTGTGGGGCAACGTTTAAAAAAACTCCTATAATTAAGAAGAAATGAAAGAAAGAAAAACCATTTATTTTTGCGCAGAACACACATAAGCATAACATAATAAAAATAAAATATAATTCTAAAGAAAAATGAAAAATTAAGTCTTGTCACGTGACAGACCTGAAATGATAGACTACAATATCTATTATTACCTGTGGACCATAGACAAGGAACATCCTTTTTACTTCATTCTTAGTAACATATTGTATTGTAGAAAGTCCTGAAAACAATGAATCTGGCGCGAAATAAAATATATTAAACTGAAACCGTCTAACATACCTAGAATATATTTGTTGATGGGTGTCCAATGTCCATGCAACCTCTAATTATGTGGATATTAATTCGTTGCTTCGTTCCCGTGTCGTCGCCGTCGCGTGTTCGTTCCTATTCACGCTAGACACACGTGATACTGTGACACTCGCTATAATGACCTGTTTTCTGTGTATCTACACGTTTATTTACTAATATTTGTATTTATTACTTGGAAAAATAATTGGATGTAGCAAGCAGAACTGTAAAGGGTGTAGGTTCAGAACCCAAATTGTGTATTATGTTAGGTTTACTTAAACAATATGCGAGGTGATAAGCGTGACTCCAAAGCAAGAGTCTCAAATTCGATTCCGGGTTGAGTAATTTTATTTGGGATTTTTCGGTTATTCGAAAATTTACAGTTTAAAATTTTGTCCAACGTATGACAATAGGCTTACCCCAATTATATGTATATTATTTTAATATCACATCACTGATGACATTTTGTACATGGACATCTCAACCCTTTGGGGATTAAGACGTAATGTTACAATATGTTTCAATATGTTTCAATACCAAAGACTGCCTAGTGCCTATATATGAATAGGTACTAAAATTAACTTGAATGATAGAGTACATGACTCATACAAGTATCTAGCTTATAATGATTCTGCGAAACATGATGCCGCGAAATACTTGAAGCTTCAATAGATAGTAATGCTAAAATCTAAAAAAGGTCCTTGACTTTGTTGGAGGGTTTTTGGTTGACGTCATAGAGCCTATTGTTAGTATCTTTCTTTTTTGTGTTCTTCCAAGAACTATGTTGAAGAGACCTAAATAGTGTTCCTTTATAAGTACTATTTAGTAGTCATATTTTTCCTTATGAGCCAAAGTAAGTTATGTATCTTATTTGTATGTATTAACTATCCTTAAAACTAAGTTGAAATATTCAGTAGCTAACATTATTAAATAATAACTATCTTGAGACATACTAAATTAAACTAGTAGAGGTTTTCTCAGTATATTCACGTGAGTAACCCGCGTTTTTACTTAACATTTTTAAACTTCAGAATCTCGAAAAGCATTTTAACAGGGTTATCGGTGTTAACCGTCGTAAAAACATATCAAATTTATCTTTGACTAGCTTCTACCCGTTACTTCGTACACGCAATCCCGTTTTCTCTCGTTCCCGTAGGATTTTCAGGATGTTTTCTGTCCTTCCTTTTTAAGAACAAAAAAATAAGTACTGAAATCGGTCCAGCCATTCACGCGTAATATAATATAGATTTTTATTAGGGGGATATCATCGAATGACTGCCCCGCCTGGGTAAGGCGGGAGGGAGTGTCAGACTCTCACTGACTAAAAACCACCCCGTTCCTTCTCCTGCACGTCGAGCCGGAGCCCCGATTACCCGTTAGTTTCTCCGCGACTCCGATATTATATAGATTACTTGGACGATACCCTAAGAAACTTTAAGGAATTAGGGACATATTCATTACTGTTTGGAAAATTATATTATTAACTCCTAAGTATGAGTATAAAGATTTCCATCTTATTATCTTCATTTTCTGTCCTGTCTAGATCCAGACTATAAACGGCGTAGTCCTAGTAAGCTGGCGACAGCGTGTACTGGAGCGACAGATCGAGTATGGCGCGCGACTCGGCCACGTGGTCCTGAGTCTGGCGCGGATGGAACTCAACAACTTCTACAAGAACGTCATGCCAGTGGCAGACTATTTCGACCAGACTAACATGCTGATAGCGGTAAGTGGAATTTGTATATAGTGCTAAGTTTTTTTAGGTTAAAAAAGAAGTTCTTGTAGTGTTTGACGATTATAAGCGGTTGCCGAAATAATTCTATTTTATTCAACAAAAGCTTGATATAGTCCGTTGCCGGCTGATAAGCTTTTCTACATAAGTAACAGAGCTTGAAACGTGACAGACAGATTTTTTTTTAAGGGGTGAAAAACATCGAATGACGTCTCCCGCCTGGGTGAGGCGGGAGGGAGTGTCAGACTCTTACTGACTAAAAACCACCCCGTTCCTACTCCTGCACTTCGAGCTGGAGCCCCGGTAACCCTTTAGGTTCTCCGGGACTTGACAGACAGATTAGAGATCGCAGTTTGGGAAGTCTAGCTTTATCAGAGAGCACTGCCAAATATGTATAGTCCGTTAACCGGGTCTTACACCCGCGGGAACAGAAGGGGTGGTTCCAAAATTCTACTCGGCCATTAATACAAGATACGTTGTTTATACAAATATACAACCGATATAAGTACATGCATGTACATTCAAATGTAGATTCTTAACATTACCTTCGAAATTTCCTTGTCCTTGACCAATAAATACGATTGTCTTATTCATATGCTCACTCGGTCAAGGGTTCCACCATTTTTGGAGGTTAGGGCCGAGCACCATTAACAGATCTGTACCTAACTGTGATTTGGAAAGATGAATATTACTATTACACTTTACCCGACTAGGGTCGGGTTATACCGCAATACCGTAGCACCGTGTGTCATATTTATCATATTTAACCTCAAAGACTGCCTCGTTGGCCGGGTCGCAAGCGCGACTGCCGGGTAAGGGTTCTCGGGTTCGATTCCCGGGTCGGGCAAAGTATTACTGGGTATTTAAAAAATTCTCAGTAGTAGCACGGAGTCTGGAAATGCGCCCGGTATATGGCAATAGGCTCACCCCCTATTACATGGGACTCGTAACATAAAATAGTAAAAAGTGGGTGTTACATGGTACAGTGGCATTAAGTGCTGTAATGTGCACCTTTGCCTACCCCTTCGGAGATAAATGGCGTGATGTTATGTATGTTGTGTTCATATTTAACCAGATTTGTGAATGAAGAAATGTTTTAACCACGTTTCATTCCGTTAATAAAATGTTCAATATACTTAACTAGCGACCCGCCCCGGCTTCGCACGGGTGCAATATGCATGATATAAACCTTCCTTAAGAATCACTCTATCTATTAAAAAAACCGCATCAAAATCCGTTGCGTAGTTTTAAAGATCTAAGCATACATACGGACATACAGCGAAAGCGACTTTGTTTTATACTATGTATTGATTATGATAAATATTTACGTTTAGTATATCTAGAGGTATATATGTAGCTATCTTTCAACTGGTGATAGGTCAAAATTATCATGTAATTCATAATTCTTATCTTGTAATCTTTTGCACATAAGCTACCTATATATTAACTGAAATGTACACACTGTTTATAGAATTTTAAGGTATTTATGACTCAAAATGTTCTACCGTCACTCAAAAGAGGAACAACATCAATTCTATTACTAAAATAAATATTTAATACCCTCTAGAATGAACATGGAGTGTTTCCACAATACGAATTTAAGAAGTAACATAATATTGCATAAGGTATCTACGTGTTACAATAGAGATTTCACCGACATTAAATTGAGCAGTTTTATCTCAAAGATAAATCAATCGTCAAAGAGAAGATGGGGACGATCTTGTAAAAATATTGACATAGAATACAAGTAAAGTATGGGAGAATTATGTTTCGGCACGAATGGGCCGGCTCGACCGGAGTGATACCACGGCTTTACACAAAACCGACGTGAAACAACGCTTGTATTTCGTTGTGTGAGTGAGGTTACCGGAGGTCCATTTACCCCCTCCCCCTTCCCCAATTTCCCTGAATCCCCATCAATCCTAATTCCTAATCTCCAAAAAGCCGGTAACGCACTTGTAACGCCTGTGGTGTTTCAGGTGTCCATGGGCGACGCCGATTGCTTACCATCAGGTGATCCATCTGCTCGTTTACCGGTTTATTCCATAAAAAGAAGTAGCTACTTAATCACCTACTCCCTGAAAATGCCAAATTCCAATGGCGAAGGAATATAGGTTACCGTTCCAGCTCACCAGGTGGCGCTTATCTAAAGAAATAAGAACGTTCATCCAATAGAAAATTACCTAATTCTCAAGCATTGAGCATTCAATGAATTTTGAAAATTAAATTATATTAATCGTTGAGTAACTTGTTTCGTTTCTTATAAACGTTGATCCTTATTATTCAAATCAGTTCAGTAGTTTCGTAGCAATGCAAAACAAAACAAACATTGCATATTTCTTCTGTATACCATTAGTATAATTATATGCATTACGTAACAAAATATAATATGCATTCTGTACCTTATACATATATTTTGGCAACGACTCCGTTATTTCGACAAGATTCATATCGGCCCATTAGCTCAGTTGGTTAGAGCGTCGTGCTAATAACGCGAAGGTCGCGGGTTCGATCCCCTCATGGGCCACAATTCTCTTTTTGTGATTTCGCAATTTATTTGCACTTTTTTTGTTTAATTCACAATTTTCTCAGATTTTTTACTTTTTTAATGTGTAAATATTTTTAGTGAACAGTGATTTATACTAACAAACATGGAAAGAAAAACATATTTTTCTCAAAGAGGTAGATATTAATGACAGAGCCCTACCTACGTACCTACTTCTCATAGAAGTAACTTACGTAGCTGTTTGATAGTAACTTTTTAAAATTAATCCCCTAGATATATCGAATAGTACCTATACGTAATATTAGAGTTCCCCTAAATCAACTGAGTCAGTTGGACAAAACTGCCCAGTCGCGTCTGCGCAAAGCGTTCTAGTTGAAACAGATTCCGCCCCAACAATAACAAATTGGCGAGGCAAATAGGAAGACTATTAATAATATTAAATTAATATTCTTAATTATAGATTAGCAATGTTCAAATCAATGCACGTATTTAAATAATCTTTTGTTATTATTGACTGATAAACGACGCAGAGCTGAAACTAAATGCCGATATTTTAGGCCAAAGGCCCAATTACCCTCCCTCCAATCTCCCCAATCCCTGAACCCCAAAAATTCTCAAATGCCTAACCCCCAAAAGGCCGGCAACGCACTTGTAACGCCTCTGGTTTTTCGGGTGTCTATGGTCGACGCCGATTGCTTCCCACCGCCGGTGATCCGTCTGCTCGTTTACCGACATATCTCATAAAAAAAACTATTGCTCGTTGAAAGCTGGGAAGTGTGTACTATGTCCCGACGACATACGAAACGTTCCTCAATTTCTAAAGCGAGTGAAAAAAATCATAAGGTTAATAGACATGTTTAACAATATCAGTAAAATATTAAAATTATAACTTTGAACCTGTTTTACCTCGAAATGGGAAAAATGGGAAATTACTAGTGCTACCTGCTGAAAGTTTCAGCTAAAAAAAAATACCAATTCCAGATAGAAAATACCGACACCTCACCTTACATTTTCTCTCTAAAACAAGCGAACCTTACGATACAAAACAATTCAAAACAATCTCGCAAATAAACAAAAACAAACAACGACATATTCAGCTGAAACTAATCTAGACACATGACGGTTATGACAAACAAATACAGATTAAACTTCATTAAAGAATAAAACAATAATTGGATGAAATAACCGGTTTTACAAGAAGTCGCAACCGCGCATTACCTGCTCGGGACTCGAACGTGGCTCTTACAAAGCAGGTATTATTCAAATTATGGGTTATTATACATGGCGAGGCTTGCATTATTAATATGAAAATGAGTAGGTACCTGCCCAAAGCCGTTTTAACGGTCTTGCAACATAGTTTAAGTCGTAGATTTTGTATTTTGTGAAATTGTGACTAATATCAGTACCTATCTATGTGGATCTTTGAATTTTTAATCTGTTTTTGGACAAAAGTGACCTTTCTTTTGGAGAAAATTAATTGATTTTGTTTTTAATTTCGTATTAGGATCGTTATTAACGACAGCATGTTTTAGTCCATTGCTAGCTACAGATTCCTTTACGTAAAAGATTCGGTTATAATTTACAATTTTAGCTGGTCGGTTAGCTTACAAATCAGGTTTGTCTACTACACGGCTCTTTCTTCTAAAGACAAAAATAGATATGAGAATTTTTTCATCAAACTTCACTTTCGCCGAAAAAATTTGTTCAAGGTTACCTGATTCTTCATAATGAAAGTATTGTTTACCAATAAAAATACTTAAAACAATACGTTTCGAAGACATCATTATACTAAAAGCAATATCCGAATACCGAATATACTATAATAAGTCCTATCCCCATAATTTCAGAGTTCAGTTTCAAAGTAGACCTGTATAATGCCTTAAAATGGTCAATGAATAAATAATAGTCATGTCATGGATCTATGACCAATCGTTGTTTTATGCTACGTCACTGATATTTATGGAAGACGGTTTTTTTTCGTAAACATGCACTTCAGAATATTAACCTTCAGTATTTATTCTGTGCAAAGTTCTAAGCCCCTTTTGGGAGTGGTTAAGGGGTCTTAGGGCAAGATTGCTTAATTTAGATTTTAGACGTTCAATCAATAGAATAGGGACTTAGATGGGTTTTATTTTATACAGCACTCATATTTTTTGCCGATTGGTATTATTGCCGAGTGGCAAGTATGTAAAACTAATTTTATGATTTGTTAGTTGGTTAGTTGCAAGTATGGCTGACTGATGCAAAAGTTTCGTATTCAACTTTGCGTTGGATAAAGCTAGTAGGTAATTTGAGCTCATTAGCACGGAGTATGAAACTGTGCTTAGTCCATGGCACTAGTCTCTTCCCTTATTATATGAAACTCATAACATAGGTAATTACTGAGAATCGGGTGTTACCTATCCAAGGATGAAGAGACACATAGTCCAACAAAAAATCTCACCGATCTTCGAGACGTTTCTACAAAGATAATACTAGAAAGTGGGTG